CGTCAGATGAAGTGGCTACTACGATTTCACTTTCAACTGAAGCTACACGATTGATTGTTGTATCGGGTAAGTTCCCGCAGAAATTCACTTTATATTCTTTTGAGTTCTTTTTCAACTCATTTTGATAGAATGATAGTATATGATTTTTGCACGCTTTTACAAGTATTTTAGTCCTTTAAAAACGAGTTTCGCTTACCTCTAGCTCACGTTGTTTCGGAAATTAGCAGCTATTTGCCCGTTCCAATTTAAAATTCTATAATTTTTCATTTACGTGCAACTATTTGTGATTGAAAATGGCGGTTGCGTGACGAGTAGGTATATCTAGAGGAATAAAATTATAATATTTTAGGTGATTTCCAAATTTTCAGCAAATTGCGTTTCCAAAACGAAGCATGAGATGGTTTTTAGGCTCTAAAATAAGCATGCAATCATGGAAGTTTTCATGCGCTTGTTTGGTTTCATAAATGGACTTATTTTAATAACCTTTATCTTTCGTTTTGCTCAACTTGGGTAACTGGGCTCATGTAAACAGGACCTGAATTGTTTTTTTCCTTTAGATAAAGACCATTGTGCTTTGAATAATTCCTGTCCTGCAAACTCGACATGTACGAACTCTCCTGGCACCATTGTATGTTCTTGTGACACTGGATTCACTGGAAATCAAACATATTGCCAAGGTATACGGAAAGTGGAAGTTCGAATGCACCAGACAATACCGATTATAATGGAAATTCTATCTAGCCTATTTTTAGAAGAATTCTCAATATGAGTGTCCATTTGACGACAAGTCTTAATGACTTACCTTACCCTGATTTTAAATAATATATAATAGAGGTATTATTGAAATATGTACAGGTATAAACCAGTGAGCTCCACATATATCTGGAGTAAGAACTTTTGGTGCAAAAAGTGAAGCCAAAGATGGCGGAAATTGAAGCGCTATAGTACGTCAGTTTCAGTCCCCTAACTCGCGCGGCCAAATATTTCTCATTGTTTTTGACCGGGAGTGACGGTTATCGAAACCCTCAGATTTTCGTGTTTTTCATCATTTTGAGAGCACAAGAATGGAAAAAATTGATTCATTTTACTGAGAATCTATTTCTCTGCATCTACCCGATGTGGGTGCCGCATTTTCCGACTGTACGAGTGAGTAAATATGCATTTTTCGTATTTACGTATTTCAGATTTGTTTAATTTTGAGTTATTTTCATATATTTTCACCTTATGTTTTGAGTTTCTTGTTTCATTTTTGGTTTCGAAACGCTTTAAAACTAGTTGTCCTTTATTTTTTGGCCAGCTTTCCTAGCATAGGGCTTTTTTAAAGTTTTTTTTATACTTGCATTTTGAGTCTTGTTTATAAATTTCATAATCATATATTAATCATATTTCAAACTCGTACGTTTTTCAGCATAATTTTCTTTCCTATTAATTTTTTATATGAATGAAAGCCTTATATATAGATGAATTAAACTGAGAAAAGTTTTATTTATGTTTTTTGGGAAGAATATCCTGTGAGTAAATGTTGTGATTTGCGAAAAGCCGAAAACATCAACAATCCGCCACTCCTTAGCTTTCCGTGTAAGATATCGCTTATTTCTTTGTTAATTTAATTGAAATATAAAGTATCTCAATACAAAGCATCAATATTATACCTTTCATTGAAATTCCCCTCATTTTTTACACAAAAATAGGAAAAAATAAAGTTAAAAAATACGAATTTAGTTGACCGCGCTCACATAGGAAGACTGAAACTGACGTACTATAGTGCCTCAATATCCGCCATCTTTGGCTTCACTTTTTGGCCTCACGGAAGTCTTAAGTTCTTACTCCAGATATATGTGGAGCTCACTGGTATAAACACACAGCTCTTGTTGTTTTCGGTAACAAAAATAAGTCAGTTGCACCCTCACGCATGATTGTTAACACCTTAGTTACAATAATCGCCTAAAGTTTTACTAGTTTATGCAACTTGTTGACACTCAAGTCCATGAGCAGCACAACATTTTCAGCCGTGATTTAATTAATCAGGAACATATTGGTTGTTTTTAGAGTTGACCAGAAGTAATTTCGTTATTTCTTATAAATTATTGCATTTTTGTCCAAACTTCCTAGATATCGATGAGTGTTTAAATAGTCCATGTGGATACAATACAAACTGCACAAACACCTTTGGTTCTTACATTTGTAAATGTCAAACAGGATATGAGGGAAATGGAACAAATTGTACAGGTACAGCCCACTTTCTTTGGAGATTTATTTAACATAATACTCAGCCGCACCTTTACGATTTTTAAGATTATGTGACACTTCACTCCATGTAGAAAAAAGATCATTAAGGGTCTTAACTTCAATAAACAAGGGCAGCCTTTGTGGCTCAGAGGCAAAAGTATGGAATCAGCATTGCAACACTGAAGCGTGATGTAGCGTGATTAAGGGATCAAATTGCGATCTTAGAAAGAGCATACCGAAATTTGTATACTTTTTTACAAAGAAGTATGCAAAATTGCCAACTTCGCATGGCTATATTTTCCGTACTTTACAAAATTTTGCAGCCAAACTTGGCAATTTTACTAAATTTAGTATACACTTATCGGAAATTTCTTTTTGGTGGCCTAAATCAAAAGTTGGTCTATTATGCAAAAGGGCCAATAATAAACCAAAATATGTGTATAGAGATTTATGCACAGCAGAATGATGAAATAAAAATCGTACTTCACTGTGTAAATTAATTTCATGCAATTTGATTAGACGTACGATGTTTTTCACGTGTGAAAAAATGCCATACACGGCTTTTGATTGGACGTACGATATTCTTCACACGTGAAAAATTGTCGTAAGTCATTTTGGCGGCAATTTGTTTACATTTTCTTTCAAGATGGAGTCAAAATATAGGAGTGAGATTCAAAACATAATTCTCATATTCAAGATATTTTAACATTCAGCACATTCTCAAATCTTTCGGAAGGAATATCTAACTTCTATTGAACAAAATTACAAAGAAATTGAACGGTAATAAACATGTTTTGATGCGTAAAATTTTGATTTGGGTTGCTCGCTGTGTTTTTGTATATTAAAAGCGTGTCGTTGTCAAATTAACCATTTCCAAATGGTTACAACTGTACAGGTATCGTAAAAAAAGATTATTCGCATATTCTAATTATTTGTTATATCCATTGCCAAAATTTATTTTTTTCTATTTTTTTTTCACAAAGCCAAATCTGAACGCGAGCGATATTTATCCGCTGTTTCCTGAATAGTTTATATAATTTTCTCTTTCGCTCTAATAGTTGAATAATTAGAACATGAATTAGTCTTTCGCATGGATCTAACGTGCCTAAGTTGAGGAAAGAGAGAGAATTTTTCATTCTTTTTTCATTTACAATTGTTCACCATGCCATATACTCAGCTAAGTCAGATTGTTAATGATATGTTCTATTTCGGGGAAAAATACACAAATTTTGTACCGATGATAAAAATGAATCTTAATGTAGTCCTTGCCAACGTAATCTGTAATATATTTCTAGATATCAATGAATGTCAAATAAATCCTTGTGATGTAAATGCAAATTGCATTAATACTGATGGTTCATATAATTGTACTTGTAACATGGGCTATGAGGGCAATGGTTACAACTGTACAGGTAAGGTGAACACAGAATATCGGCATATACAAAATTATCTGTTATATCCACAGTCAAATTTTATTTTTCTCTCACTGGTTTTCTATTGCAAATCCAAGCTCTAAAAACAAGCGATATTTCTACTGCTGTTTCCATGACGGCTATCTAGCTCACACGATTAGTTTAATTTCCTTGTTTGCTCTAATAGTTGAATAATTAGAACATGAATAATTAGTCTTTGGCTTGGATCTAAGGTGCCTAATTAAGTTGAGGAAGGCGAGAGAATTTTACATTCTTTTTTCATTTACAATTGTTCACAATGTTATATACTCAGCTAAGTCAGATTGTTAATAATTATATAATGAAATATTTTTGCTTCGGGAAAAAGTATAGAAAAAGATTTCTACAGATTATCAAAATCAAACTCAATGTAATTTTTGCGAATGTCATCTGTAATATATTTCTAGATATCAATAAATGTCAAACAAATCCTTGTGATCTAAATGCAAATTGCACTAATACTGATGGTTCATATAATTGTACTTGTAACATGGGCTATGAGGGCAATAGTTACAACTGCACAAGTATCGTAAAAAAAGATTATTCGCATATTCTAATTATTTGTTATATATATATTGCCAAAATTAATTTTTTTCTATTTTTCTTTCACAAAGCCAAATCTGAACGCGAGCGATATTTATCCGCAGTTTCTGCGAGAGCTACCTAGACGACACAAATAGCTTATATATTTTTTTTTTGCTCTAATAGTTGTATAATTAGAACATTATTTAGTCTTTCGCTAGGATCTAACGTCCCTAAGTTGAGGAAGGAGAGAGAGTTGTACATTTTTTTCATTAATTTTACAATTGTTCACCATGTACCGAGGATAAAAATGAATCTCAATGTAGTCCTAGCGAAAGTCATCTGTAATATATTTCTAGATATCAATGAATGTCAAACAAATCCTTGTGATGTAAATGCAAATTGCACTAATACTGATGGTTCATATAATTGTACTTGTCAGATGGACTATGAGGGCAATGGTTACAACTGTACAGGTAAGGTATACATAGAATATCGGCATATACAAAATTATTTTATATCCATTGTCAAAATTTATTTTTCTCTCGTTTTCCTTCGCAAAGCCAAGTCTAAACGCGAGTGATATTTCTACTGCTGTTTTCCCATTAGCTACCTAGCTCGCACGATTACCCTAATTTTCTTGTTCGCTCTATATATAGTTGTATTATTTACACATGAATTAATCTTTATCTTCCAACATGCCTAAGTTGAAGAAGAAAAGAGAATTTTAAATTCTTTTTCATTTGCATTTGTTCACCATGCACCACTCACTCCATTTATCCAAATAGTAAGAGCGACATGGCAGATAAATTTCATAAGAAACTGACCGGTTTACATCAATATTTAAAATTCATTACCTTTAAAGATGTTGATGAATGCACACTTTGGATTCACAACTGTCACAGTCAGGCAACCTGCAGTAATACCAATGGGTCGTTCACTTGTACCTGCAATGAAGGTTATACAGGAGATGGAAACACGTGTGAAGGTGCGCAATTTGTAATACAACTTTGCTACCGCTGGCACATGAATTGCTCCAGCGCCCGCTCATTTTATGTTACATCATAGGCAGCCCAATGGCGAATGGTTTTATTTGAAATAAAGTGCACTAAAACATTGAAAATTAGAACAAAGCTATCCGTATTTTGATTAAATTGAAACATGTATCATTTATTCATGCTAACTAAAATCCTAACATCCTGTGTACTACGCAACGGGCGACTCGCGTGCCTGACAGTGTTCAGGCAATGTAGGCATTATATAGTATATATATATAGTATATAATATTATATATATATATATATATATTAACATATATATATTATATATATATATATATATATATATATATATATATATATATATATATATATATATATATATACACCCATTTGCAAAAACGTTGGCCGAAGATAGATAGATAGATAGATACTCGAAATCTAATTAGAATTGCATATGTTGTGTAATATTATAGAAATCCCATGCAAATGTAATCATATGCAATTCTAATTAGACTTCGAGTATCTATCTATCTATCTATCTGCGGCCAACGTTTTTGCAAATGGGTGTATATATGTATATATATATATCCTAAGAGAGGCAACTTCAATAACAATATTCACATGGACACATGCAAACAATCCGAAAATACTTCAATTCATCCCTAAAACTAAGCTAAAATAACAGCAGAATTGCCTGATTGGCTTTCAAAACAGCGAGAACAAAAAGCAGCCAATCAGATTACAAAATCGTCATTTTCAACGTTCTCAAAAGTCAACAGCGCGTGTCCAGCATTTGCCCATTCAAAAAATGAGTAAAATATTACTTTTCGCATTTTTCTCGCTTCCATAACTTGTTTTCAATATTAGAATATAGCCAGTATATAGTAAAATTATCGTAGATTTCATTTCTGCTGTTATTTTAGCTTAGTTTTAGGGATAAATTTAAGTATTTTCGGATTGTGAATATTGTGATTGAAGTTGCCTACCTTAGGATATATAAGGGAGGTTAAGATCTCTTTCCACTACCAGTACCGATACGAAAATACATTACGTATTACAGTTTGGCAGCGCGGAAATTTTAAAGCGTTAAGATTGTGACTTCCGTAAAAAGTAAATAAACATGGCGGAGTATAGCGGCTATATTCACATCAAAAACTCTAATCACAATCCATAAGTCTCTCCAAACAAAGCAGAAACATTACACAACTAAAAACTAAATAATATTATTAGAAAACTAATGCAGAAAATGACAATAATACAGTGAATATAATTCGGTACTTCGCCTATCTATCCACTTCGATTTTCAGCCCCAAAACGGTACTCGCGACTTCCGGTGTTATCACATTTTGGATGATTGTTACATCTGCGCATGCGCGTGACTTGTTATTGGTATCGGTACTCGTAGCGGAAGTCGATCTTAACCTCCCTATATATACTATATAATGCCTACATTGCCTGAACACTGTCAGGTACGCGAGTCGCCCGTTGCGTAATACACAGGATGTAAGGATTTTAGTTAGCATGAATAAATTATACATGTTTCAGTTTAATCAAAATACGGATAGCTTTGTTCTAATTTTCAATGTTTTAGTGCACTTTTATTTCAAATAAAACCATTCGCCATTGCGCTGCCTATGATGTGCATGGCATTATACTTTGTCGCGGGATTTAAAAGTAAAGAAAAAAATCCGTTGTGCGCTTCGGGCAACAGTAACCGCGGTCGAGAATCAGAAAAACACACTTTTCTCCTGAAATGACAGTAAATAAGCGATTTGGTATTATATCTAGTGTCAAAATGAAAAAAAAGGTCTCTAAGGGAGAACAAATTTTAATACCTTCACGGATTAGAATAATATAAGTATACAATGATAAAAAGTTAACTTTAAAAACGATGGGAAAGCAAGTATAATGTCTACTGAGAAATAAAAAACGTCAATGGCAACAGTTTACTGGATATAATTGAGTCTTTGCTGTGTAAGATTTCCTAGGGTCGCGTTGCTAGGGAAATCATAGCAATGGGCAAAGGTATAACAACTGGCTAAAATAGACAAAGTACATCTCGATGTTTCGTTCGAGGGCCTTCGTCAAGAGAGTTAAGATGAAAAACTAACTCTCCTGAAATACTAATACTAAACGAAGGTCCTCGAGTCGAAACGTCGAGAAGTGTTTTGTCTATTTTAGGGAGTTGTTATACCACATTTGATGCTAACTTTTAGTTAATTCTGCTATTCTACAATATTAGGCTAAATGGATTTCCCATTTCTACCTTTACAGACATAAATGAATGTGTTGGAGCATCGCGAAAATGTTCAGGTGCAGGTCAAGAATGTTTCAACTTTCCTGGAGCATTCCGTTGTTATTGTATTAGTCCAAGACAGCAAATTATTGATGGAGAATGTACTGGTAGGTCTCACGTACATGAAGTATAACATCGTTGGCAACCTCGGCCACCTGCATGTGCCTGCAATTCCTCTTAGTTTTATTACTTTATAACGAGATATGGACACCGGTGTTCCGAATGTAATACCAAAAACCACAGTCTAGGTGTTATTGATTACAAGTCTGGTTCATATTTCGCGCATGTGCCTGATCAACAAAAACGACCAACTCTACCGTCTAATGTCAACATGCACACATTGTTCATAAAATTAGAATTTAAACAACTTTTGGTTCTGTATATTGCGCGACACAATACCCGAATGTAATTAAAATATCTGTATAGTCTATAGATACATTATGACAACGAAACGATCTTTTATTGGAAAAGAAATTTTGATTTTACAATACATGTATAACTTATTAGTACCTCATGTAAGTATATCATTTCGGTCAATGAGCTTTTTTGCATATTAAAATCGTTCATAATCATGCGTTACCACTCACTCCATTTTCCCAAATGGTAAGAGCGATATGGCACATAAAATTTTGTTTATTTTTAACATGGGAAAATCGCAAATTCTTCAAAGCGCTTTATCGCGGTCTTTTAAGACATAATTTTTAGCACACACTTCTGCCAGATTTTATCCAAGATTTTCTACTTTCTTTAATATTTTTCCCTTGTTTGGGGATTACAGGACTATTTAGTTTTTTGTGCAAATATCGCGCCATTTTGCATTTTGTACATTATTCTTTCTTTGTATCCTGAATGACGATTGGCTAGTTGTATATATACTGCAGTGTTTTTTATTGGCAAAAGTGCAATTACACATTGCAAAATGTGCAATAATATTAGTGTACGGTAATCAAGCGACAGCGAGTGCAATTCGGGATTAATAGTAGGAGTAATGTTTAAAAATTTTACCAAAGTTGGACGAGCCGCTCAAACCCCACTCCTTTTAGCCAATGATAATACAGTATTTGCCGATGATTACAAAATGTAATAATCAACGAAATGTATCATTACTGAAATAAATCGGCCAATTAGCACGCCGTAATTTTAACATTACATTAATAACATTATACAATTAAAATTTTACAGTACATGACTGTCCTACCCCTCCTAAACGATCAAACAACAACTCTCATGCGTCCTCTTTTCTACTTAGATATTCAGGCCTCTGTCGAAGGTCAATTTGTGATTATAAATCGCGTCTACATCTCCGCCTATAATGATCCACAAAGTTTAGAGTACTTTCAAATTACTCAACTGTTAACCATTGAGGTATGTACAACTACGACATTCTTATAAATAGTCGCTCTTGGGCTTTTGGTTCGATATTTTTGTTTTTGTATTCCATTCATCAACACTCATATACATTTTCAGTTTCAATAAGGAATACAGATAAATTTGGTCAGTGGTAATGGCGTCTGAACACTTCATGTCGAAACTGCAAAAAATGCCGTTTTAGATGAATCATCCATCATATTTCGTACACTCCCATATGCGTTAATTAGACTTATATGCTTTCGTTATTTGACTAGCATATCATTATAAGTGTTGTGAATAGAAAAAGTGTTCTGAATTCGGATCACTAGCCTTACTTTTCGAAATAACACAATATTTAAACCACGATTGTAAGTAATCGATTATAAGGTTTAAAGTGTTGGAGGTATAGCTAAGTTTGCTCCTCGCAAAGCGTTTATACGAATTAAAATTTCCTGTGAAGGATGTTAAAATCTTCAGCGATAGAAGAACCGACGTCATGCATGAACAACGAAATATTATGTTTCATAGCTACATTTGAAAGATTTTCTTTTTTAAAAAAATTACTAAAAAGTTTTTTTTACTAAAATCGTGAACAACACCATATAAGCCCCGGGGTAACGGACCGAAAGCAAATTGAGTTTCATCATGTATTGATTCACCATGCAAAATATCAAGAATATTATTGGACCAGGAACTGGTCCCTAACCGCTGCTAATCTTCTTCTTCTTCTTGTTAGGGGGCGACGCTCTTTAAAAAAACCCTAAGGCTCTATCATTACTTGTTTGATCGGAATGAAACTTGGCACAATTATTCTAAGCAATATTCCGCATCGATTGACGGAGATCGAATTTTTACTTTTGACCTTTGAAGCAAGTTACAAACAATTCTTGATATATTTGCAGCAAATAATATATACATATCATTAATATTCAGCCTATATATAAGTAAACGGAAACGATTAGAAATACATTGTCCTCTCCATTGTTATAAATACAATGCAGTTCAGAAATTAAACTCGGTTACGCAGTTCCTGGTCCACTATAATACGATCGTACTTGTTAAATTATTAAATTCTAACAAGAATATTATTAATAAATTATATGCATAATTATCCATAATAGTTTATATTTTGTCTTCCTATAGGTTACGAATCTCTACACGAGAACACCGAGGCTACGTTTTACCTTTCAGAGTGTCATCATTTTACGACTGTTGTAAGTTTTAACAGCCTTTGAAATTTTGCTCAACTCTTTGTTCACGGCCGTAGCTAGAAAGTGTAAAGGTTTCACAAAAAACACAAAATTTTGAAATCACCGTCTTGCTCTTAAAAATTTGAATGACCGTACGAATTTTTTCCTGTGGGGATTAAACGCAAATTATGAAATGCTAGATACAAATATGTAAAATCTTGTTGAAGGTCGTAGTCATTGAGTTGTAGTCTATAAATTTAATTTTTTTTGCATATTTGTATATTGTAATAATTACTCCGGCGTCAGCGACGGAGTTGAAAATTCGCCTCGGTTTTGTTTTGTTTTTGTTTTCTTTTTTTTTTTTTTTTTTTTATTATTTTTCGTCGTCGCAAGTCTGTAATGGCGCGAAACATTCCAGTATTTAAAATGTGTATGTGATTGGATTTATCTATGTCCCAGTCTTGTCTCCCAAGAGTTGTGGTGCACAGCTTTGGCTAATTTTCCGATGCGCGATTCGATTTCGCTCGCATGATACGGCAATTCCTCCAAGAGGAACAAATAAACCGTTCTTTTCATGCTTTTCGATTAAGTTTAGACTAAATTGGGGTAAGAATATATTTAATACGTGTAGATTCTGGTCCTATTTTAGTAATATCGCTGCTATTTCGCCGTTTAACAAGATGATGTGGTCGTGTATAGGCGCTATAACTATATAAGCGCGAATTCCAAAGGCAAAGTGTAAGACAAAGCGAATGTATCATACCGTTTATTTACATTCTTGAACGATTTAACTTCTATACTTTTTAAAGTACGATGTGCTTCTGAATTTCGCGATCGAACATTTAGGTTCGCAAGGCATCTAAATGCGAATATGAACTGTATTGTTTATGTTCAGAAGCTCTATATTGAAGACTGGCACGTGCGCCGGAGTTAACGCCAGAACAGGCGTCTTGTTATATATTGTTAATAAAGGTCATTTGTGGGTAGGTATTTAAAGTCTAGTGTCTATCTGGACATTACTAAATTACATCTATCTTGGACATTACTAAATTACAAGACGGCGGATATAGACACGAAAATTTAAACTGCGATATTCAGCGGAATGAATCAGCCTCTACTGCCTCTTGTGGTGAATTTTCTCCACCTATTCGAGTTTCCCATCGTAAACGTGATATATCTCTGGTTGAAGATAATCTTAAAATAGTGTGGATGGGCGATTACTCGTCTCTTAAAGTAACCGTCTCTGAATTTCTAAAGCTTGACGGCGAATGGACCTTGCCAGGAGGTGAAAGGAAGGTCTTTTTCTGTGATGGTTCGCCGCTTTTAACTTGGTTTAGCAAGAAAAAAATTATGCAATTCAACAACGAGTATGGAAAGGCTATAAAACAGAATTTGCTTGAGATACTAGTCGATCGATCTGAAACCGAAGCCGAAGGAAAGATCTATACCCCTGAGTGTCGTTGTAGAGAAGTGTCGTTTGATTTAGAAGGTTCTAAATTAGACATGACAATTGTTGAGTCTGAACAAGGGAAAGCTATCAGTAAAAATTCAAGCCAAATTGATCAAATTTGTTCCGCTGTTGAACACATACACGGGATTAATAACTCAATGCATAACTTAGTCAACTCAAACTAAGTGCCGAATGTAAACAAGTTCGATTCCACATCGTTGAGGGATGAGAATGAAATTCTTTTGAGCACAGTAGAAGTTTTAATTAACGGCGGAGCTGGTCAGTCTCAAAGCTGAAAACAAGAAATATAGGGAATTAATCAATACCCAAGGATCAACGAATGCAGATCCGGTCCTTGCTGTGACAACAGATGCAAATTCTGTGCCAGTAAATGCAAATGTCCCGTCTGCGGGGGTGTCAGATACCAGCGAACAACTAGATATTTCGGAGGAATCGACAACCGTTGGTATTGAAGAGCAATTAAAATCGTATCAACTAAAACACCAACTTATGTCTTTTAAAGATCAATCAGAAGCTTACCGTCAGAAACACCGATTAGCTCATCAAAGCCTTCGCTCTCAGTCCAGTCAAGAGGATAAAAGTACCCATGTGCCACCTGGAAAAACTATGGCACCTGGAAATACTACGTCTGACGGGGAGTCAGATACTAACGAACAACTAGACATTCCGCACGAATCGACAAACGTTGGTATTGAAGATCAATCAAGACCGTATCAACTGAAACATCAATCTATGTCTTTTAAAGATTAATCAGAAGCTTACAGTCTGAAACACCGATCGACTCATCAAAACCTTCGCCCTCAGTCCAACCAAGAGGGTAAAAGTACCCACGTGCCACCACGAAAAGCTACGTCATTTGAAGTCCAATCAGAATTATATCGACAAAAACATCAATACTTCCGCCTCTATCCAATCCGAAAGAACCCCAAGAGAAGAACACAAAGGAGAAAAACCCGACCGCAAGTAAACCCTATGAAAAGTGCGTCAGAGAAAAGAATATACAAACCAATTCCTCCTTTTCGCCAAGTACGGAGGGGCAGTCCACCCGCTCTACATCCCCACCGTTCGAAAGATTGGCTAGAATATCTGGACTATGTCGGCAATACAATGAAGCAGCATTAGAGACTTGGTCATTTGATAAGTTTGAAATACCGACGGCAAATAAAACCAGTTATGATGTAAAAATTCCCGTACATATCACAGACCGTTCTAGAACGCCTAAACAGCATAAGAAACACAGAAATTGCTATATCCCCTCCCACAACCTAATCCATATCAGAACTCTCAATCGTACTGCTAATGCTAACAAAAGACCTAAAAAGGAGATGCTTCCATCCTTCTTTTTATTGAACTCCCGTTCGCTCCTTCCAAAGATTGATGAATTGATCGCACTTGTAAGTCTCAAGTCTGTCGCAATAACTGAGTCATGGTTACATAAACATATAGACAGCAGCTTATTGTCAACCAATGGTTATAATTTTTTTCGTAAAGATCGTGCAACTGGTCGAGGTAGGGGAGTTTGTGTTTTTGTCAAAAAACGACATTCATTGTATCCGACGGGTAGATCTAGAAAGTGAAAATTTAGAATGCTTATGGCTTAACCTACGACCTAAACGCCTTCCCAGACCTCTCTCTGGCCTAGCAATTTGTGTCGTATACCATCCGCCAGGTTTGGCAGTATCAGAGCACAACGACCTCAACGATTATTTAATCAATACTATTGACCAACTTCGGAATAAGCACCCTGACCATGGTCTAGTAATCTTGGGCGACTTTAGCGATTTGAAATACGTACTTTAACTACCACTCAAAATCTTAAACAAGTTGTTGACCAACCAACCAGAGAATCAGCAATACTGGATCTTATCCTTTTAAATATGCATAAATTATATAATTGCCTTAAAGTTCTCGCTCCATTAGGATCTAGTGACCACAATATCCTACACTGGCTACCCTCTGCCGATAGCATTTCCAACCACGACACACAAGTGAAATCTGTCAAAACCTTAGTACGCCGCTACCTTAAAAACACACGAAATGGATATTTGGAAGTTTGTGGATGATATATCAACATCTGAATATGTTACAAAAGGCAGCGATTCAAAGATTCAGTCTGGTCTGGATTCAATCAATTCTTGGGCTTCGAGTAATTAATTTTGATGAAACTCAATCCCAAGAAATGCAAGGAACTACGTGTTTGTTTCCTCAAGAGAACTCCCGAATTATCACCATTAATGATTGACGGTCATTTGATTGATGTTGTGCGGTCTCATAAAGTACTTGGTCTGATTATTCAAAGTGATCTTAAATGGAATGAACATATAGAGTCAGTTGTATCCAAGGCTTCTAAACGTTTATATATCATCCGCTCTTTACGACGAGATGGCGTTCCCGCGGAGGATTTACTAAGTATATATTTTGCCCTAATACGATCTGTTCTGGAGTACTGTTGCGTAGTATGGCACCACACTTTATACCTTGCTGAAGAGTTAGAGCGAGTACAAAAACGAGCTCTGAGAATTATCTTACCGGGCTATTCTTATAAGGAAGCCCTAGCACGCCTTGGGTGTTCCAGATTGGATGAAAGACGAGAGCAACTTTGCCTTGATACAATGAAAAGTATAGAAAAAGGAGGAGAAGCAAAATATGTTCCATTGACCAGGGCTTGTACAAATGATTATGAACTTAGAAACTCGAACACATTAACAACAATAAAATGTCGAACAGAAAGATACGTAGCGCCGTAGTTTCTTTCCTAGTACAGCAGTTTTATTGAATAACAGTAAATAATTTCATGTGTAATATTTTAATTTGAGTATCGTTGTAGTAGTGCGCATATATATATATATATATATATATATATATATATATATATATATATATATATATATATATATATATATATATATATCCTCCTTATATCGTCCTTATATATATATATATATATATATATATATATATATATATATATATATATAATATATTCTCTTTTTTACGATTTCAGCCCTGGATCTGTTGGTTTTGATTACGTTGCAACTTTCAATGATTCCGCTGGAATAAACAGTGAAAATATTCAACAAGAGTTAGTCGAGTCAATGAATGTAACGCAAAACGGCACATTTCTTGGAGCAGACTTCCAAATCAGCAAGAGCACAAATCTCACTGAAGTAAAAGACCAACTTAGTGTGAAAGGTATTTAACTTCCAATTAATTATATTAACGTTTATCCAATATTTTCGCTAACATAGTATAACAAAAGCATTGCCAAATGGGTTGCCGAATGACACACCAGCGCGTTTAATAGGGGAGCAGACGGGCAGGCTCAAGTTAAGAAAAAAACTCGAGAAGCCTCTGTCATATAATTTTTCTATTATGGCTTTAAATTACAACATATTGCGTAAGAATGATGTAATTAGGTTGAAGCAATTAGTAAGATGAATATACATAATTTCATATGGCTGATGTGAATTCAAAGAGAATTATTAAAGCAGGGGCAACTGCCCCCACCCTTTACCAGCCGGGCAATTGGGGCTAAGGTGCCCTTACACGATGCAATTTTGTTCGATCCAATTCACTTCTGACGTATGGGATGTAGTGTATTATCGATGAAGCAATACTGAATTGGCTTTAGTGTATTTGCTGCCCATATTCATTGCAAGTCAACAACAAACTATTAAACAAAAATTGGATCGTGTGAACAGAGCTTAAAGTTGAAGTTTCACGAACGAGTATGAATAATATCGCAATCGTCTAAACACGATGACACGAGGTTCAATGGGTCAAACAATGCTTTGCAAACATTCTTTATTACGCATTGCTACAGGAGTGCCTTTTTACCAAATACCAACTAAATACCAACTCATTAGTACACATGCAACTATACAACCAACGAAATTATTTGGAATTACAATTGTAATCTAGCGTGCTAAAGGAAGCGTACAAATTTCACGATAATTTTAGCAGTGGCGTAGCCAGCCCGAAAATTTAGTCATGCTATGCTAATATTTTTGTGTTCATTGACTGTGAAAACAATGAATTTCTAAAGAAATGAATAATGATAATAACATAAAATTTGCATAGCATGACTAAATCGTCAGGCTGGCTACGCCACTGAATTTTAGGAGCAATCAAAATATTGAAAATGAACTTTCTGCTTGAATCAGTCATCAGGGTTTTGTTAAACCGGGTTCTTTAGATTTTTACTGGCAGAAGTTAAAACCCTGATTCCGTTATGTTGGGACAGACGACACGTTGCTGAGGCATTAGAGGGCATGGAACTTTGCACTATCCATTGATTCCTAGTTTCAAAATCATCACCAAAGAGACATGTTAGGCCTATAAAGCACATGCGTGCATATGAAAGGCTTACACTGGTGAAGGGATTCCGCTCATAACCTTCTGACCTTTTTATTTCCTTCAGGGATATTTAGTTTGTTTTGCAAAAAAACTTTCCGCCATTTTGTTAATGGGATTCTTTTTTCCCCCAGATTATGACGAATGTAATCCACAAAATAGTATCCATACTCCTGATTGTGGCAACAACGCGTTATGTAGGAACACAAACACTAGTTATGAATGTATTTGTCTTTCTGGATATGAAAAAAATAACACACGTTGTATTGGTAAGCATAAACACGTTCTATTATTGGGTTCGATATCTATTTGTCTCAAAATTGTGTATTTTTAATGTTTATAATGCAGATTTTCAACAAAATGAAAATCTATTGCTAAAATCCCAAAATTAAAAGAAATGCATTATGTTAAAAGACACAAAATGGCAATAAACCATCCAAAAAAGTGTTCTTGAATTATCAAGGGCAAATCGTGTCCACTCTAAGTTGTTTTTGGAAAGGTATTTAAGGCGTAGCCAGCCTGACGATTTTGTCCCGCTATGCAAATTTCGAGTTATTATAATTATTCATATCTTTAGAAATTCATTGTTTTCGAAGTCAATAAACACCAAAATATTAGCATAGCGGGACAAATTATCAGGCTGGCTACGCTACTGTATTTCTTGGAGCAGTTAACGTATTTTTTCCATAATGCAGTGAAATCGAGACTTACCAGACAACCTGCGTGGTATATATGGTTTATACATGAGTGTTCCACGTTTGAAATATGGATGCGTGCGCTTCACGCGATGTAAATACGAATGAAATGCTATAGATGATTTTATGATATAATATATTCTGCAATATTTCTTCAGTCCTTCTCATTTCTCCAATATTTTTCATTCGCTATCCAATTAGTAATCGCAGCTCGAAAATAGTACTCTGAACCGAATGTGCGCATTCATCGAAACTGCCCGTCTTCTTCGCCAAATATTCATGATTTATTACCTTTAAAGATGTTGATGAATGCGCACTTGGGAAGGACAACTGTCACAATCTAGCAACGTGTAAAAACACCAATGGGTCGTTCACTTGTCCCTGCAATGAAGGGTATACAGGAAACGGAACTACGTGCGAAGGTATGTGCTTTCCATTACTAATTTGTTTGTCATAAAATACATTTTTATTTCAAAAAAAGAGGGATTATAACTTCTACAGTCTATTTGGACGTTAAAATATGAACGTGCATTAAATATTCAATCTTTGTTACCTTAGAAGATGTTGACGAATGCAAACTTTGAACTCATAATTAATTGTCCCTGATGAGATTTTCACACTCATAATGAGATTTTTCAACACTCATAATTGACCGTAACAAAAAAGATGGCGGCATGTACATTTTACCAGAATGCATTGCGGGCATTAAGAATGATTGACTGAAAAAAGATGGCAAGAAAAACTCTTAATGACGTGAAATTTAAATACAGCGAAGAGAATAACTTCCTGTTTTATGCCTGTCCTTTAAAAGACGTCAGTTCGCTTTTTTAAACGATTTCCGACCGCAATGCATTCTGGTAAAATGTACTTTCGCCATCTTTTTTGTTATGGTCAATTATGACAGTGAAATTTGGCACTGCTATATAAACAAAATATGCACATCGAGTTATTAAAAAGTGTCCGTCGTTTAATATTCAATTATATTACCTTTGAAGATGTTGACGAATGCGCACTTGGGACTCATAATTGCGACAGTAAGGCAACGTGCAGTAATACTACCGGTTCGTTCATTTGTACCTGTAACGACGGTTATACAGGAAATGGTACTGCATGCGAAGGTATGTGCTTTGCATTACTATTTTGTTATAGTTTTGGTCTAAATTTAGAATCTAAATTTCTGGAATCGGAATGCGAACAACACTAACAACACTGCTGCTTTGGAACACCTGTAACTATAATAATTATAAACTGCTCAGCAAGATTATTAATAACCTTTTAAAAGTTAATTATTAAAGAAAACCAGCTCCTTCGTGAAATATTCAATCTTTATTGCTTTTGAAGATGTTGACGAATGCACAGTTGGGACTCACAATTGCCACAGTCAAGCAACGTGCAGTAATACCACTGGGTCGTTCAATTGCACCTGCAATGAAGGTTATACAGGAAATGGAACCATGTGTGAAGGTATGCAATTAACACTACGACTTTGCAACCACTGGCACGACAATTATGCCGTTTGTTGATCATCTTGAATACAGAGCCGTAGCTAGAAGCTTAATTACGCGGGGATAGTATATTCATATAATTATTCGACCTATTCTCGATTGATGTATTTTCTACGCTATTGTTCCAACGATATGTAAACGAGAATCTATATAAATTTACAACCGTCCCTCAATTTAACGGTCTAGCTACGGCCCTGATTTTATAAAAGAGTTTTACTAAAAAATTTTCGTTATGTGTATGCAAGTCGTTGACATTTATTTCAGCTATAAATTTATCTTCATTTTAAATAAAGATTTAGTTTAATTCAAAAGAAACCTAAGATCATTTAATTATATAGGACTCGTTTTAATTACAAAAACTTTTTAAGTCCTTCTTATTTCTCAACTGTTTCTCATTTGCTATCCAATTTGTAATCGCAGCTGCCCGGAATGTACGCATTCATCGAAACTGCCCGCCTTTTTTGCCAAATATTCATGATTTATTACCTTTAAAGATGTTGATGAATGCGCACTTGACACTGACAACTGTGACAATGAAGCAACGTGTAAAAACACCACTGGCTCGTTTACTTGTACCTGTAATGAAGGTTATACAGGAGATGGTGTCACGTGCGAAGGTACGTACTTTGCATTGATTTAACTGCTTATGATGTAAATTCATCAGTTCTTTGGGAACAGAGTCTAAAGTTCCAAGATCCAAAGACTGGGAAAGGCACGACGAACACGCACAAAATACTGTCTTTGGCCAAAAACAGGCTTATATAATTATAAGCTGTTGAAGAAGATAATATTTATGCAATATTGCAATTTGATGTACTCTATTATGTGCACGTATCTCGAAAAAATACGACTCGTGATTTAAAATTCGCGCGTTGAATTGCGCTAGGAAAAACCAGCTCGGTCTTTTAATATTCAATCTTTATTGCCTTTGAAGATGTTGACGAATGCACATTTGGGGCTCATAATTGTCACAGTCAGGCAACGTGCAGTAATACCACTGGGTCGTTCAATTGTACCTGCAATAAAGGTTATACAGGAAATGGAACCATGTGTGAAGGTATGCAATTAACAATACAACTTTGCAACCGCTCCCACAACAATTGCACCCGTTCGTTTCTCATCTATTTTCTATACGCAGTTTGCCAACAAATATACATTATATGTATGCAAGTCGTCAACATTTATTTCAGATAATTTATTGGCAACAATATTTCCTGATAATTATTCCTTATTTATTTCCGTTTAAAATGTTAACAGTTAATCATAAAAGACATTTATATAAGACACTGTCTTTTATATGAAGAGTTTCACTGGCGATATAGTTTGCGCTTTTCAAGAAAAAAATGTGGGAACGGTGCGTTGTGTATGGCTGTAGCAACTGGGCGAGCTTTTCTCAAAATATTTTACATTATTGGAAGATCGAAGTAAAATTAACAATTAATTATAATATGTTTGACAAGAACTCGGTTCCTGAGTCTCAGGCCCCCGAGCACGACGGAAATTTGGGCAAATCGTCATGTTTAGATGTAAATATTTCCGAAACTATTTGATTATATCAAAAAGGGTTGTAGAACTTATAAACTAATTTTTCAAGCTCTATTCAAATCCGTAAAGATCCCACAAGTGATATAGGCACTTTAAGGTATTATAAAAAAAAACGCAATACATTTTGTTACAGAAAAATCTTGATGGATTTATATTAGCCTTCAAAGTTACCGGACCTGACCTCAAATCCGGAATCGCAAATCAGTTTTTTTTGTTTAACCGATTTGACGCCATGTCCGCCAAATTTAAAGGCTAATAAATCCATCTAGACAAAATTTTTCATTATAAAAGTATATTGCAAAGTTTTTTAAAATACCTTAAACTTTTGATGTATTCAAAATCCACAATAATGGTATGGGCAGTTTAATATTCATGATTTATTGTAAGGCTGTTCAAAATCATTAATTCTGATTGGTTGAGAGCGGGTCGTAAAACCCATATCCGGAGCGTGGTCCGTTTACTCCGTACCTGGATCAGTTTAGCCGTATAATAAACAGATTATTGACCTCGCTTGTTCAATCTGTGCTGTGAAATTTTAGACCGAGGTTTTTGGATTATTAATGGATTATTCATTATCTGTTTGCGTGTAAGATGTTAAAAGTTAATCATAAGAGGCATTTATACTTCACTAGAAGTAACAATTATAACTACAGTCTAATTGGTCAGGACGTTATTATATGAACATACATTAAAGAAAACCAACTCGGTTGTTAATATTCATGATTTATTACCTTTGAAGATGTGGACGAATGCACATTTGAATTGCATAATTGTCACAGCCAAGCAACGTGTAAAAACACCGCTGGTTCGTTCAATTGTACCTGTAATGAAGGTTATACAGGAGATGGAACCACGTGCAAAGGTACTTACTTTGCATTACAATTTCGTTATAAATTTAAAATCTAAACTTCTGGAATCGGACAAGACCACTAACATTATACAGTCTAATTGGACGTTATTATATGAACAAACGTGCATTAAGGAAAAACAACTCGGCGTTTAATATTCAATCTTTATTGCCTTTGAAGATGTTGACGAATGCACACTTGGAGCTCATAATTGTCACAGTCAGGCAACGTGCAGTAATACCACTGGGTCGTTCAATTGTACCTGCAATAAAGGTTATACAGGAAATGGAACCATGTGTGAAGGTATGCAATTAACAATACAACTCTGCAACCGCTCCCAGAACAATTGCACCCGTTCGTTGCTCATCTATTGCCTTAACGCGATTGGCCAACAAATTTACATTATATGTATGCAAGTCATCAACATTTATTTCAGATAATTTATTTGCAACAATAGTTCCTTATAATTATTCCTTATTTATTTCCGGTTAATCATAAAAGACATTTATACTTCACTGAAAGTGAATAATGACTTATACAGTCTAATTGGACGTTATTATTTAAAGAAAACCAACTCGATCGCTTAAAGTGTCTATAACATTTTGGGGATTTTGAATATGTAAAACGTTTAAGGCATTATAAAAAAGATACAATACATTTTGTTATAGAAAAATCTTGATGGATTTATGAACCTTTAAAGTTACTGGACAAGACCTCAAATAGGGAATTGCAAATCAGTTTTCTTTTGTTTACCCGAGTTAACCCCATGTCTTTAAAGGCTAATAAACCCAACGACTAACAGGCATGCAAAACTGTCTTTTGCACACCTATAATTATACTATAGACTGCTCAGCAAGATAATAAGCATTAAAAGTTAATCATAAAAGGCATTTATACTTCATAAAGTTACAATTATAGATAAACAGTCTAATTGGACGTTATTATATGAAAATACAATAAAAAAACAACTCGAATGTTAATATTCATGAATTATTACCTTTGAAGATGTGGACGAATGCATACTTGGAACGCATAATTGTCACAGCCAAGCAGCGTGTAAAAACACCATTGGTTCGTTCACTTGTACCTGCAATGAAGGTTATACAGGAAATGGAGCTACATGCGAAGGTATTTTTCATTACAACTTTGCTAATGCTACTGCGACCATTGCTCGCGTTGGCTGCTGATCATTTGTGAGTCCTGGTTGCACCGTTTTCAATTTACCGAGTATTAATCCACCGGCTATAAATACGCTTTTAATAAATAGGCTTGAATTTACCGGGTATTAAAAGCTTCATTTATATATCAGAAACCATAGTTATAATTTCACGCTTTTGCACAGTCTTGCATTGTATACTCTTGAAAATGCCGCATTAGTTTGTCGATTTGAAAGTAAAGCATTTTTCAGGCAAACCTCATCACTTTAAGAAAAAGTGTTTGCTTCACAACTAAATCATGCATGAAATTATCCAAAACGATTTTGATGTCATGATTTTGTTAAACCTTTCGTATATATAAAAAGGCATTATACCCTAGCCGGCTGAACAATGAATTAGTTAAAGAAGTAGTAAAATTTTAATTTGATGTCCAGACTTATCTTTTTCCACAATAATGGGGTGTTGTTCCAGTTCAACAGGATCAGGTGGGAAGACCGCAAGCCTCGTTCTCGAGTTGTGACTTATTTCCATACTTATTTGTCAAAATGGAAAATTCTTTTTCGTGCATGTGTTGAGGAAGAATGTTTTGTATCTTTGCCCCTGACTCGTGAGAGTAAAACTTGAAATCCATCTGATTTAATTAAGGTGGTTCTAAATTTAAAACGATAATGTTGTGACGTAATTACAAAAAGGTCTATTGGATTTTCGATATCTTTCTTTGCAGACATAAACGAATGTGTTGGAGCATCGCGAAAATGTTCAGGTCAAGGTCAGGAATGTTTCAACTTTCCTGGAGCATACCGTTGTAATTGTATGAGTCCAAGACAGCAAATTATTGATGGAGAATGTACTGCATGGTAGGTCTCGCGTACATGAAGCATAACATCGTTGGCAACCTCGGCCACTTTCATGTGCCTGCAATTCCTCATTACCTTATAACGAGATATGGACACCGGCGTTCTGAATGCAATACAAAAATAACCAATCTGGGTGTTATTGATTACAAGTCTGGTTCATATTTCGCGCATGCGCCTAATCAACAAAAACGACCAACTAGACCCTCTAAAGTCAACCATACACTGTTCATAAAATTAGAATTTAAACAACTTTTGGTTCTGTATATTGTGCGACACAATACCCGGGTGTAATTAAAATATCTGGGCAGAATTAGTACCTCGCGTTCCGTCACGTGGTTAAAGAGTATTTCCATTGGGTACAAAATGTCACGCGATCGACTTTTTGCGATCGCTTTTCTAATAGACCTTTCCGCACGCGGCGCGTTGGTTTTGCGTGGAAAGATTTGATTGGCTAATTTGCATTGCGGGAAAAAGTTCGGACAAGCAAAGCATTGAAAACAATAAGTATTACAAGCCATGCAAACAATGGATATCACGACGATAACAGGTGTAACCGTGAATGTGTATAATTTGAGAAACTTTTTCCTAAACACAGGGTTAACAGCAGCGAACTACCAAAAGGCAAATTTGTTGTTGTTTGCAAAGTCAGCCCTATAAAAATGAAGCTTTCAACCAATGTTTGATTTCCACAAAGTTAAGCTTCACCTGAAAAATCGATTGCAAATTTCCTGATCCTTTCAGTTTACAAGCGTCAGAAATGTCTGGACCGCTTGAAAATATCCCACGTTCATCAAAGATATATTCAGCTTTTTGATATTGAAATCAAGCGAATACGAATAATCTGAGTTATGAGCTGAAATACTTAACGCCAAATCTTTAGCCGTATACGAAATTAAAGCCATTATAAAGTTTTATTTCGTGTAGAAATTTCGAGAGTTAATCTTAAAGGGAAATAATTATCTAAAAAATTTTAAAATTTTTCGATTTTTTGGCGGTTGGTAATTGTTTTTTTTTTCAATATTTCCTTTGTAGTTTAAATCTTTAAATTTCGAAATACAACTTTTCAATAGCTTTAATTTTACACCCAGCCCAACATCTGGCGTCAAGTATTTCAGCTCATAATAGCGTTCCAGTTTACCTGCAGTTCAATGAATACAATCCGTCTGTCATAGCAGCCATTTTGAATTTTTGTTTTAAATTTCGCGTGCCTTGTGTATCGGGATTGAAAATTGAGCTAAATTGTCGATCACCCGACATTTTGTACTGAATAGAAATCCGCCTTAAGGGATATTGCCGATCAAAGTCTATAAGCATACATTATGACAACGAAACAATCTTATATTGGAAAACAAAATGTTGATTTTACAATACCTGCATGTATAACTTATTAGTACCTGATGTAGGTATATCATTTCGGTCGATTTTTATCCAAGATTTTCTACTTTCTCTAATATTTTCGCCTCTCTTGGGAATTACAGGACTGTTTAGTTTTTTTGTGAAAATAACGCGCCATTTTTTCATTTTGTTTTTCTTACTTTGTATCCTGAATGCCGATTGGCTAGTTGTATATATACTGCAATGTTTTTTATTAAATATAATATATCTTTTATTGGCAAGAGTGTAATTACACATTGCAAAATGTGCAATTAAAATCATGCGACCGCGAGTGCAATTCGGGATTAATAGTACGAGTAATGTTTGAAAATTTTACCAAAGTTGGACGAGCCGCTCAAACCCCACTCCTTTTAGCCAATGATAATACAGTATTTGCCGATGATTACAATATGTAATAATCAACGAAATGTATCATTACTGAAATAAATCGGCCAATTAGCACGCCGTAATTTTAACATTACATTAATAACATTATACAATTAAAATTTTACAGTACATGACTCTCCTACCCCACCTAAACGATCAAACCACAACTCTCATGCGTCCTCTTTTCTACTTAGATATTCAGGCCTCTGTCGAAGGTCATTTTGTGATTATAAATCGCGTCTACATCCCTGCCTATAATGATCCACAAAGTTTAGAATACTTTCAAATTACTCAAGTGTTAATCATTGAGGTATGTACAACTACGACATTCTTATAAATATTCATGAAATCGCTCTTGTGCTCTTTGCTTCCATATTTTTGTTTTTGTATTCCATTCATCAACACTCATATACATTTCAGTTTCAACAAGGAATAGAGATAAATTTGGTCAATGGAAATGGCGTCTCAACACTTCATGTCGAAACTGCAAAAAATGCCGTTTTGGATGAATCATCCATCATATTTCGTACACTCCCATATGCGTAAATTGGACTTATATGCTTTCGTTATTTGACTAGTATATCATTATAAGTGTTGTGAATAGAAAAAGGGTTCGGAATTCGGATCATTAGCCTTACTTTTCGAAATAACACAAGATTTAAACCCACGATTGTAAGTAACCGATTATAAGGTTTACAATGTTGGAGGTATACCTAAGTTTGGTCCTAAATATCAAAAATATCATTAATATTAACAAGAATATTGTTAATATATGCATAATTATGTATAATAGTTTACATTTTGTCTTCCTATAGCTTACGAATCTCTACAGGAGAACAGCGAGGCTACGTCTTACCTTTCAGACAATCATCATTTTACGACTATTGTAAGTGTTAACAGCCTTTGATATTTTCCTCAACTCTTTGTTCACATGTGTAAAGGTGTCAAAAAAACACAAAATTCCGAAATCACCGGCTGTTAGAATTTGAATGACCCTACGAATTTTTTTCCTGTGGGGATTAAACGCAAATTATGAAATGCTACATACAAAAATGTAAAATCTGCCAGAGAAGAGGGACATGTTGAAGGTCATAGTCATTCAGCTGTAGTCTATAAATTTATAATTTTTTTGCATATTTGTATATTGTAATAGTTAGCTATATATTATTGTCAGTGAAGGTCATTTGTGGGTATAGGTATTTTGAGTTTTTTTGGGACTGTTTTTTTGAACGGTTATTCTCTATAAGTAGAAATCCACCAATTATTTTGACTTGCCTTTGATCCGTCACTGTTTTTGGACGTATGTATTCTTGTTTACGTATCATAGGAACAATAGCGTGCAAAGTAAATGAGTCGGTAAATCAATATATATATATATATATATTATATATATATATATATATATATATATTATATATAATATATTATATAATATATATATATATATATATATACACCCGTTTGCAAAAACGTTGGCCGCAGATAGATTGATAGATAGATACTTGAAGTCTAATTAGAATTGCATATGATTACATTTGCATGGGATTTCAATCATATTACACAACATATGCAATTCTAATTAGATTTCGACTATCTATCTATATATCTATCTGCGGCCAACGTTTTTGCAAATGGGTGTATATATATATATATATGCTTTCGCAAATGGCGAATAGATCACGGGTTTAAAAGTATTCCCAGTAGCCTACGTAGCCAGCCCGACAATTTGAGTGCTAAATGTGAATATTTTGGTGATGATTGTCTGTGAAAGCAATTTATGAATATCTAAAGAAATGAATAATGATAATAACATAAAATTTATATAGCATGACTAAATCGTCAGGTCAGGCTGGCTACGCCACACATTTTCGAGCAAAAGTATACTTTCGCAAATGGCGAAAACATCACGAGTTTCAAGGTATCATTTGTAAGAAAAAATCTTGCCTTTTAGAATTAGCAAAGTCTGATTTCTCTTTATTACTATTTCAGCCCAGGATCTGTTGGTTTTGATTACGTTGCAACATTCAATGATTCCGCTGGAATAACCAATGAAAATATTCAAGAAGAGTTAGTCGAGTCAATGAATGTAACGCAAAACGGCACATTTCTTGGAGCAGATTTCCAAATCAGCAAGAGCACAAATCTCACTGAAGTAAAAAGCCAATTTAGTGTGAAAGGTATTTAACTCCCAAATATATTAACGTTTATCCAATATTTTCGCTAGCATATAACAAGCATTGCCAAATGGGTTGCCGAATGACACACCAGCGAGTTTAATAAGGGAATTTTAATTGTCTTAAATAAAAGACTTTCGAGTAACAACTACCCTCGTCCGCACAGGCGTTTGTGTAAAAGTATTAAAATTAGTAGCGGGCAGACGGGCGGCAGTCGGGCAGGCTTAAGCTATGAAAAAAAATCGAGAAGCCTCTGTCATATAATTTTTCTAATATGGCTTTAAATTACAACATAATTTTATTGTGTTTTTCTATAGAATGATGTAATTAAGTTGAAGCAATTAGTAAGATGAAAATGATACATCATTTTATATGGCAGATGAGAATTCAGAAGGAATACAGCAGGGGCAACAACCCTCCCCCCCCCCTTTTTTCTAGCCGGGCAATTATGGCTAAGGTGTCCTTACACGATCCAATTTTGTTCGATCCGATTCACCTCTGACGTAGGGATGTAGTGTATTATCGATGAAGCAATACTGCGTTGGCTTCAGTTTATTTGCTGCCCATATTCATTGCAAGTCAACTGAACAAACTATTAAATTGGGTGAATTGGTTCCAACAAATTTGGATCGTGTGAACAGGGCTTCAAGTAGAAGTTTCACAAACGAGTATGAACAATATCACAATCGTCTAAACACGATGACACGAGGTTCAATGGGTCAAACAATGCTTGCAAACATTCTATATTTCGGTTATTACGCATTGCTACAGGAGTGCCTTTTTACCAAAATCTGTCCCCTTTGCCACCTCCCATCGTTCCGGGGTCCCTGGTTATATAGTCCAAAGTTTCAGTATTGGTGGTGGAAAAAAAATTCAAACGGCCGTTTTGCACGAGCAACTAAATTACAATTTAAAAATGACAACATTGCGCCTAACGTGCATTTGATTATCCTGGATTCCTTGATTGTGATTTTTTCAAGCTAACACTTTAATAGTAAATTTTTCACAGTCCAGGTAAATACAGGCATCTAAATACCATCTCATTAGCTCACATCCAACTATACAACCAACGAAATTATTTGGAATTACAATTATAATCTAGCCTGCTAAAGGAAGCGTACAAATTTCACGATAATTTTAAGAGCAATCGAAATATAGAAAAATGAACTTTTTGCTTGAATCAGGGTTCTGTTAAACCGGGTTCTTTAGATTTTTACTGGCAGAAGTTAAAACCCTCATTCTGTTATGTTGGAACAGACGACACGTTGCTCAAGTATTAGAGGGCATGAAACTTTGCACTATCTTATGGATTCCTAATTTCAAAATCATGACCAAAGAGACATGTTATAAATTTCACAACAGAATAAGCACATGCGTGCACATAAAAGGTTTACACTGGTGAAGGGATTCCGCTCATTATTTGCTCAACTTGGTGCCCATACAGAGAAAATAGCTTATCTTCAGAATATCACCGAGGCAATATTGATTTACAATTCTCAGGGCCAAAAATTATGGATTAGGCGCAAAATAGATTTATGTAATGTGATTTATTTTCGCATAGATATGTTGCCAGCCATGAATTTTGCATACCCTTTCCGCAGCTCAGTTTTCTGAGCATTACTGATGACACATTAAATTTTACGCAGTTTTGGGATAATTTTGGCTAGGAGTAATGGTTCTCCTAGCCGCTTTATTTCTGGCAAACAAAAGATATTGATGATTACATATTTGGAATTTTAATGGTAAAAAAACGGTCTTCTCTCTATATATATCAGCTACTGTAAATCATCCAATGTACATAATTGTTAGTGGAGGCTTTGGGGAGGAGGTGGGTTCAACTTTAAACGAGCTCTGTCTTTTGCTATGTCACGCTTTAACTGACCGTTTGTGGTTTCGGTATTTGGTCTTTGTTAGTTTTCAAATTGCTGCTGTCCATTCGCCACCTTTCCCATATTGCGTGCACTCAATTACCTGTCGGTCTTTTAGATAGGGCGCCAAGCCCATCATATAAGAGTTTTAATTATTGTCGGCAAGGCGTATCCTCTTGGGGGCACACCTTTCCTTAGTAGTATAACTATAATAACATAACATAACATCACATTTCCTTCGTAAATATTTTGTTTTTCACTAAGGCTTTTATCATTATTAAGTAGTACAGGCGTACGATGGCGACTATTAAAGTTAAATTAATAAAATACGAGTGATGTTTAAAGATATTACCAAAATAGGACTAGTCGTCAGGGAGAGTTAATCCCCAATTGTACGAGCAACATTACTTGTTTATTACTATCATAAGAAAATCGTACAACTTTGGTAGCTTTGTTGCGAACTTTCGTTTACCTTTTTGGCCTTTTTATTTCCTCCAGGGATGTTTAGTTTGTTCGCAAAAACTTTCCGCCATTTTATTCTTTTTACGATCGTTAAAATTAATGGGATTATACATTTTTTCCTCCCAGATTATGACGAATGTAATCCACAAAATAGTATCCATACTCCTGATTGTGGTCACAGCGCGTTATGTAGGAACACAAACACAAGTTATGAATGTATTTGTCTTAATGGATATGAAAAAAATAACACAGGCTGCATTGGTAAGCATAAACACGTCTACTATAGGATTCGATATCTATATTTGTCTCAAGTGTTCTGGAATTATCAAGTGCAAATCGTGTCCATTCTAAGTTGTTTTTGGAAAGGTATTTAAGTGCTTTTAACGTATTTTTTCGTAATAATGTTGTTTGTTTGCATGCAGTGAAATCGAGACTTACTAACCTGCGTGGTATATGGTTTATACATGAGCTTTCCACGTTTTAAATATGGATGCGTGCGCTACTTCATGCGATGCAAATTACGAATGAAATGCTATAGATGGTTTTATGATATAATATATTCTGGAATATTTCTTCAATCCTTCTTACTTCTCCAACATTTTTCATTCGCTATCCAATTAGTAATCGCAGCACGAAAATAGTATTCTGCACCGAATGTGCGCATCCATCAAAACTGCCCGTCTTCTTCGCCAAATATTCATGATTTTTTACCTTTAAAGATGTTGATGAATGCGCACTTGACATTGACAACTGTGACAATCAAGCAACATGTAAAAACACCAATGGGTCGTTCACTTGTACCTGCAATGAAGGGTATACAGGAAACGGAACTACGTGCGAAGGTATATGTGCTTTTTATTACTTTTTGTTTTTCATAAAATATTTTTTTTTCATAAAAAGAAGGATTATAACTTCTACAGTCTATTTGGACGTTACTATACGAGCGTGCATTAAATATTCAATCTTTGCTGCCTTAGAAGATGCTGACGAATGCAAACTTTGAACTCATAATTAATTGTCACTGATGAGATTGTCAAAGCAACAGTCATAATTATGACAGTGAAATTTGACACTGCTATATGAACGTAATATGTACATCGAGTTATTAAACAGTGTCCGTCGTTTAATCTTTAATTATATTACCTTTCAAGATGTTAACGAATGCGTACTTGGGACTCATAATTGCGACAGTAAGGCAACGTGCAGTAATACCACCGATTCGTTCATTTGTACCTGTAATGACGGTTATACAGGAAATGGTATTGCATGCGAAGGTATGTGCTCTGCATTACCATTTACTCCGGCGTCAGCGACGGAGTTGAAAATTCGCCTCGGTTTTGTTTTGTTTTTGTTTTTTTTTTTTAATTTTTTTTTTTTTTTATTATTTTTCGTCGTCGCAAGTCTGTAATGGCGCGAAACATTCTAGTATTTAAAATGTGTATGTGATTGGATTTATCTATGTCCCAGTCTTGTCTCCCAAGAGTTGTGGTGCACAGCTTTGGCTAATTTTCCGATGCGCGATTCGATTTCGCTCGCATGATACGGTAATTCCTCCAAGAGGAACAAATAAACCGTTCTTTTCATGCTTTTCGATTAAGTTTAGACTGAATTGGGGTAAGAATATATTTAATACGTGTAGATTCTGGTCCTATTTTAGTAATATCGCTGCTATTTCGCCGTTTAACAAGATGATGTGGTCGTGTATGGGCGCGTTGACACGTCGTAGTTTGCACAGGATTGAATTAATATAACTATACAAGCGCGAATTCCAAAGACAAAGTGTAAGACAAAGCGAATGTATCATACCGTTTATTTACATTCTTGAACGATTTAACTTCTATACTTTTTAAACTACGATGTGCTTCTGAATTTCGCGATCGAACATTTAGGTTCGCAAGGCATCTAAATGCGAATATGAACTGTATTGTTTATGTTCAGAAGCTCTATATTGAAAACTGGCACGTGCGCCGGAGTTAACGCCAGAACAGGCGTCTTGTTTGTTATAGTTTTGGTCTAAATTTAAAATCTAAATCTCTGGAATCGGAATGCGAACAACGCTAACAACACTGCTGCTTTGGCACACCTATAACTATAATAATTATAAACTGCTCAGCAAGATTATTAATAACCCGTTAACTGTTAATCATTAAAGAAAACCAGCTCCTTCGTTAAATATTCAATCTTTATTACATTTGAAGATGTTGACGAATGCGCACTTGGGACTCACACCTGTCACAGTCAGGCAACGTGCAGTAATACCAATGGGTCGTTCACTTGTACCTGCAATGAAGGTTATACAGGAAATGGAACCATGTGTGAAGGTATGCAATTAACAATACAACTTTGCAACCACTGGCACGACAATTATCCCGTTCGTCGATCATCTTGAATACGGAGTCGTAACTAGAAGTCTAATTGCGCTGGGAATGTATATTCATTTATTCCACCTATTCTCGACTGATTTACTTTCTACGCTATTGTTCCAATGATATATAAACGAGAATGTATATAAATTTACAACCGTTCCCCAATTAAACGGTCTAGCCACGGTCCTGATTTTATAAACTAAGTTTGCCAACAAGCTTTCGTTATGTGTATGCAAGTCGTCCACATTTATTCCAGCTACAAATTTATCTTAATTTACAATAAAAATTTATTTTAATTCAAAAGAAAGCTACCCATGCAGCTAGCACAATCACGTTGTATTAACGTTCGTCGAACGTTTGGATAACGTTATTTTTTAACGTCGGAATCTTTAAAACCAGGAATGGGAAAAGCCGGAATCTTTAAAACCAGGAATGAGAAAAGCCGGAATCTTTAAAACCAGGAATGAGAAAAGCCGGAACCTTTAAAAACAGGAATGAGAAAAGCCGGACTCTTATGTTTGTCGGACGGCCGGATGTTTGTAACTGTTTTGGATAGCTGACACTTTATTTAGTATATATATATATAAGTTGCGTTAATTAGCAATTACAGACTACGTCATCACCGCATGATATGTAATTTGAATATTAGTTGAGCGAACAGGCGAAGTAAAGTCGCACCTAAGGCAAGCAAGTGAAGCGATCGTTTTAGAAGTTCGAGCGTTAGGAGATCCACCCTTCAGGTACTATTTTATAGTCTTATAGTTCCGTGAACAGTTTTAGTATTATTTTGTTAATTTAGTTAGCTTTATAGTCGATTTTAACGAACATTTAATTATTACATTATCTTTGTTATTGTAAAATATGATTGGAATGTGCATGCTATATCTTTGTAAATTTATGATTTTAGAATTAAATTAAAAGGAAATCTCCTTGCGTCTCGCAGTTTTGTCACCCTGGCATGTGTCCTTACCAGTAACTAAATTAGCTACAATTTCAGCGCGTAATACAAAATATGCTAATTTGACATGGCTATATTTTCCGTATTTTACCAAATTTCGCAGCCAAATTTAGCATTTCCACTAATTCAAATACGCTTAATTCTTTTATCTGTTATATGGAACATAAACTGCATTCTTTTGTGGGGGAAGGGATTATAATACATATATATTTATACAAACGATGAAACGAACACAAGGGCTGACAATTAAGGTTAGTTTGTAAACAGTTAAATTTGTTGATTTGATCTCATTCATAAACCTACAAAGTGGAGCTTTGCGCGTTGCTATCTACCGTTTAATATCTACATTGCAATTGAAATTGAATAATGTTTGGTTGAAAATGAAAACTTTTTTAATCTAAATTTGAATTTCCAAATTTTCATATGAATTGCATACTGCATGATATAAAATATGCAAGAACAACTTCATTAAATGCACAATACATTTTATCTTTTCTATATTCAGTACATTGTATTTACAGCTACTTAGTATATAAGTATAATTAAATCTATGCGAACAAAAATTTTGCTCCATTTAATACATACATTATTTTGCAATATATATTTGTCATAGTTCATGGTAACAGCTTTTCATTATTGAATCAGATTACCCCTGAACAATGCACGTACTACACTTTTGTTGTCCCAAATATAACATAATTTTGCTTGTAAGTAAAATTGTATAGAAAATGAAAATATTTCAGTGCATTTTGTACCTTAATTAACTCAGATTATAATTAAACAGTTACCATTCTCACCCAAGGTTTTAATGACTGGAGGCTGATTAAAAATATACAATAATAATCTGTAAGTAACTAACAGTTGCAATCAATTAAATTCTTGGCTCTTTGAGAATTACAACTTTGTGTTGGGATGGAATTTGGAATATATCCTGGGTCTTGTTTAAAAAAGTATAGCCAACCAGCATTTACTTTTACAAATAATTTATTCAATTTATTTATTGGCTCAAAGAGCCAAGATTTTAATTGATTGCAACTGTTAGTTACTCACAGATTATTAATGTATATTTTAAATCAGCCTCCAGTCATTAAAACCTTGGGTGAGAATGGTAACTGTTTAATGATAATAATGTTAATTAAGGTACAAAATGCACTAAGATATTTTCAATTTCTATACAATTTTACTTACAAGCAAAATTATGTTATATTTGCATATGGGACAACAAAAGCGTAGTGCATTGTTCCGGCTGTTCCGGAATGTCCGAATTTCGGAACCCCTATGTATAGCTATGAACCCGAGATAAATATAGGCAATAATAGGGGTGTCCGAATTTCGGAAACACTTATATTACAGAATTGGGATAAATATAAGGTGGTTGGAAATTCGTAAATCCATACTATAACATGATGACAATATTCTTAGTCTATGATAACTACCGCATAGTTGGTTTTTCGGAATGATATTTGTCTATAATAGTGCTTTGAATTGACATATTTGGTAATTAGAACTGGTAATGCGAGGTGACACCTCCAGTAATTAAAAGCTTCTTAGGATGGGTAATGTTATTGGCAAACGACTATCTAGTCCTGCACCAGTTTTGCCGTAGCGTTTTGATGGATAAGATGCGGAATCACTGACACTGTTTTCACATGTGCGATATGTTTGAAAGTGCATAATAAAATTACAAATCTGAGCAAGTAGTGTGGAGACGTAGCTAGGACGCGGAAAGAAATTTTGGGCCCCTCCTGAGAAGTGAGGTGAATCGTTGTTATTTCGTAAATAATGCCAAAAATCTGTATGTGCTCTTGCCCATCGAAATTGCCCATCGAAATTGTCCATCATTAATGTAAAAAAACCCTGCACAGAATGTTTGCATGAACTTTGTCTCGATTCACACTGACGGCCTGGACTCACCTAGGTTCTTGCTGCCCCCCCCCCCTCCCCCAATATCCTGGCTACGCCCCTGAAGTATGGCGTAAATAAAATATTTAAGAAAAAATTCCTCCATTTTTTTATATTACTCATTTTACAGATGTGAATGAATGTTTACAAGCTCCATGTGGCATTAATTCTATCTGTACAAACACTGAGGGATCGTACGTTTGTGGATGTCATATTGGATATGAAACAAATGCCAAAAGTACAAATTGTGCAGGTAAAACTATGCACTTTCCTTTTTGAGAGTTTGCAGAAGAACCCTCTTTGTTTTTACACAGCCATTTTCCTTTCTCTGTGTTTAACTTTATTCGTCTAAAAAGGGCGTAAGTAAATATTAATAATATTGAATTTATGAATCATATATTATGAAGTACTTATTATTCTGGGAATAAGCAAGAAGGAAAATTAAATAGAAAAATTTATTTCTCTTTTTTCTTTATTTTTTCAGATGTTGATGAGTGTGCAATAGGCCTGTGTAGTTTAAATGCAAACTGCACAAACACGAATGGTTCATACTTTTGTGTATGCAAAAGTGGTTTTGGGGGAAATGGGAGAACCTGTTTAGGTAAAAACTCCGCTATCTCTATTCTGCGCTTATTTCTTGTCTTCTCTTCGAAAAAGATGCCAATAAAATATGTAATATAAATGTATATAAATGTATATATATTTATATTTTGTTATTTTCACAAAGAAATCTCTTCACTTAAGAGTTTGCTATTATAGGTTCAATAATAGCAAATTCCTAAGTCAATGAAAGCTTCCAAGAAATTCTTGGCACTTCAAGTAAAACATTTTTGTTATGGATTATATTTATATGATTATATTTATATAAAATAATTCATACAGAAGTAGAACAAAAAGGCGTATTTTTAAGGATGGCTTTAAGTCAAGGTAGGTGCGATATTCTTCTGGCAAGCACTTGGCCTAAACTTGGGAAAATTTTACAAACAGCAAAACGTCACTAGCTGATAATCAGTTTTGATAACTTGTTTATTATCCAATTTCTCCTGTTTTGCTTAAGCCCTCGTATTTTAGCATACTGTAGGCGAATCTTTGGCGATGCTGACATAACTTTACCAATCGATTCACTTGTTCCTTTACTCCAGAATGAAAATGAGAAAAAAAGAATGACATATTTCTGGTAAAAATATCTGCACCTATCATCTACCACATGTGGAATTTTGGATAACCACATAATTATTCCACACTTTTCATAATCCTATTTAGAACGAAAAAAGCAATAAATTCGTATAACAAAAACGACAAATTTTTAAGGTCGTTGCTCAATATCATTTGGTAAAATATCGTGGAATAGATTCCACCAAAATTAATCTATCATGGCAAAATTTCGAGAAAGCCCAATATTAAGGACTAAAGGAAACTTGCTCCAAACGCGATCTTTGCCAGCATCATATAAAACATGACATTGAGGAATTTTTACTACGCCCATTTTTAATTACATTCGTTTGACGATTTTTTGTAGGTATCATCGTGCACCAGTACCACCGTCTTGTCATTTTTTGCGCGACAATAACACATGTATTTTTGATCGCTTAATTTGTTTTCGAGATAGTTGTGAATTGCGTGTTGGGCATAATTATTATTTATAGGCTTATTTATTTCCGTGAGTAAGGTATAGTGTATTTATGTAGACTTCTTAGAAAATTCCTCCCAGAAATTGTGCCATTTTTATCACGATTAATTGCTATTTTTCAAATTCCATTCTTGATGGAAAGACGGCAATGACACATTTTCGAATTCTATAGTTTTCGGTTGAAAACGGCAACCACACTTGTGCAATAAATTATTAATTATTAAAATTATTCGAGCGGCTTTTTTGCCATTACAACTGTATAAAAATTTAAACAGTAAGTATGACATCCAAAGTATCTGAACAGTGTATCCGGTTTCAGTGGCGTAGCCAGCTGACAATTTAGTCATGCTATGCTAATATTTTGGTGTTCATCGATTATGAAAACAATGAATTTCTAAAGAAATGAATAATGATAATAACATAAAATTTGCATAGCATGACTAAATCGTCACGCTGGCTACGCCATTGTCCGGTTTATCGGCAGGATATCTTAAACACCACTGTCTCTGCTCGGTGTTTGTGAGATAATGAAATATTCCATAAATATAGCTCTAAATCAGAATCAAAATGCCTGCCTGCGCTTTGACGATTTATACTTCCCAATATGCCGATAGCGTATCTGAAAGTATCCATCATTAGTTCTTTAATTTATTACTCGGAATATTTTGTGACCAATTCCCCTGAATGTATATAGTATATATTATAATACAGTGGTTAATGAAATACCAATTAAGGAAGTGAAATTATTCGACAGGGTGCCTGCTGATGCTTTACACTAATCTGAATATTATTGCTACCATTTTTGTATTCACAACAAACACAACGAAGCTCAATCTCGAAGTGAAATTCTACTTTTGAAAGGTAACCTAAATATTATGCTTTGCAACAGTCATTTTCTAGGACAGACATTAGTTAGATATACGCCGCTATATACGTGCTTTAAAATAACTTATTTTGTTTTAACGTTTGTTTGGCATACGCCAAGTTTATTTAAGGTAATATGTCATGGATCATAATCATAAAACGATCATTTGATAGTCAAAAGTTTCTTTATGAATTCCTTGTACCATAACTTTGGAAACACCGTGTCAGTGTCAGCGTGTCGTAATGTTTGATTGCAAATAATATCACGGTTGTAAATTAAGAAAATATAGCCATGCAGAGTTGACAAATTTTGTACGCTTTTGCATTACTGCCGGAAGTGTTATAACACATTCCCACACGTATAATACAAAAGTATAAAAAATTTGCCAACTTCGTATTGCTATATTTCCCGCAATTTAAGTATACTCTTTCTAGCTCTTGTGGTTTATTGTTACTCCTATCAAAATTTAGTCTAAAGCGCAAGTCGTTCTTTATCATGAAAAAAGTCTTAACGAAGCTAATATAGACACCTTATAGGATATAACAACACCAACTGTAACGGCAACGGCTGGTGTACAGTAATCATCATGAAATTCATGAATTAGCACACAAGACTGAAATGAGTGTTACAAAGTTCAAGAGAGTTTAAACACTGCGACGTTTTGCATACAACGGCAAACCGAACAATCTAAAACGCCAACGCTTGACATGCCGCGATACTGAAGAATAATTAGTTATAAATTCCTTAATAAAAATAAATTCCTTAACAAATCTGAAAGCTTAGTGTTTAAAAACTTAATGCAGTTCCAAAATGATAGCCTTCTCATGTAATGCAGTGTAAAGTTATGAGAATATCAGGATGGAACGATCGTATTCTTAATGGTTATACTTATACAAAATTATTTTTCAGTAACAAATTTTGGGTATTTTCGACTTTGAGGTAATTTCAATTAATACCTTTAAAGTATTGAATAATAAACTGATATATAATCTCTTGGCAATTTAGACTGTGCAGCTTCAGATCGTTTTTCTGCATGGTATAATTATAGGACTTAATTGGTGCCTAGCACTCTCCAGCTCAGCCACAAGCATATAAACTTCTGGTTGTTTTTTTCGTTTTTCCTAGAAATAAAAGTGATCGATACTCCTTATGGGTAATCAATGGTTTCTCTACTTTCTTTTGTTCACTTTAGGTAAGTTACGTTAAACCTCGCAAAGAATGGTTTAGGCATAATTGCATGCTTAAAAATTCCAAGTTGTTGAGCTCCAAATTAATTGGAGTCATGATACAAAATTTTTAGAAATTGAACTAAAATCCGATTAATATTATTTGGGCTAAAGACTTTTCGTGTTTTGGTGGACAAGTTCTCGTATGAATTTTACAAGAGAAAGTGGCTAATCCTAATACTTTTGTGTTGCATGACAATTATAATACGTTCCCTGTCCGACAATCGTCTTTTAGCCACGACAGGAGATCCATTACATATTGGCGGACGGCTAAGAGCTTGCATTTTTAGTATATAAAGCCTGTTTTCCACTTGGCGGAATTTTTATTTGTTTTTCTCACATAAGTTCTGCGTGAAAGTTCGCAGACAATAAAATAGTCCGCTCCACACGCAAAATTCCACCTAATGAAAAAATAGGTGGCAGAGCAGATTTACCCATGACCGGCGCAAGGCATCTCCATAACACTTTTGTCCGCATGCAAAGACAACCACCCAACCATTCAACCACCACTAATCCTAAGAAGCAGCGCCGCGGATTATTTTTTCTAGATCCGGTCAAGGGCACCGCTCACAAAAATATTAAAATTGTTTGTTGCTGCATGGAAGTACCTTTCAAGATCAGGGTTTAATTTGATCATCACGTTGATTAAACCTTAAAAACATCGGAAAAGACCAACTAGCTTTCTCTCAACTTTTAGCCTATTGAAAATCCAGACTTCCCCCTTAATACCCGTAATAGCGGCCCAGTTCGAAACAAATAATCAGACGCTTTCATCGCATACAAAGTCTTTTAAACAACAGCGGAAAAAACTTAAAATAAACAAATGTAGTCAGATAGTTCTGAAGAAAAGGCTCTGATCACCGATTTGCAAGATAGGCAGAAATTTATTTATTTTTACAAAGTCTATTTAATTCAAATAATTTATATGATGCAGCATCGTTTTAAACATTAAAGCCGTACAGAAGTGCTGCCTGATTCTTGATATTTTGATAGGCCATTATTTACGTAGCAACCAGGGATCGCAGAAGATCCTGCCAGAACCAAAGGTTCTGGAGTCAAGACCTTGAGCATTGTTTTCGTGTTAAAACGTATCGGTTTTGAGGAATAATATTTCGCAAGTTTTTTTAAAAGTTTAAAGAATCTGATGTGATATTTCTGCTGGCTAAACTTATTTGTTTTAATTTCAACGATGTAGACGAGTGCGCAGAGGCGGCATGTGGTTTAAACTCAAACTGTGCAAACACAATCGGTTCGTATCTCTGTGAATGCCAAACTGGTTTCAACGGATACGATGTATGCGGGCGCCAACGTCGAACTTTAGGTCTTTTATTTGATTTTTTGTAGCCTTTCCCACTAATGGTTGTGGCAAAGCTCAACAAATAAAATTAGGTATAGTTGACAGAGAATAACATCACGTAAAGATATGATTTTCTATCACGCGGATAATTCAGTACTTTATAAAGAATGTTTGATGTCCAATGAAAATGTCATTGCTCCCCAAAAATAACATTTCAAATAAAAAGTCATTGACCGATTGCGATATTCTTACTTAACGAAGATACCATTGACTTTTATGAAATCTATTGTCTTTACAGTTACTTAACCTGAATATATGAATATTAGCTCCTCCCCGCAATTATCGATGCTAGCTACGTCACTGCTAGAATGATTCATTATTCGTTGATCTTAATGTGTTCAGCACGTGAATAGGGTGTATCAAAAACGGCAACACTTAATATTCTAAAATTCATATTGTTCTTAAGAACAATAGATTTTAAGCCTCTGGGACCGGGATTACAATAGCTTGTCAGCTTGTCTCTACACAATTAAAAGTACTGATTACACAGGGCGTATAAAAAATGCAACCTTATTGATTCCCAGGAGCTTACGATCCTTTGTTAATGAATAGTTTGTTATTCAACATATATGAATATTAAGTGTCGAATATTGGCAATTTCTGTCAAAATATATAACTGCCGCAGATTTGCTTATTGCCTTAAGCATTCTGATTGAGTTGATCAAAATGTAAAGAAATATGTCCACAGGTACAAAACGAAATTCTTCTTTATTTTATGAAACTGTTTATAGCTTTACTGAATTTCTTATCAGATATAATCGATTGAATCAAATATGTTCAATTTCACCCACAGGAAATCCAGAAGAAGGCACTGAATACATCTTCTACTCAAACATCACTCACATCTCGTACATATCCACTGACGGTGGAGATTCTGTTGCCTTTGCATCATCTGGCAGTGCCACGTTAGATTATGACGAACTGAATTATCGGATTTGGTATACGGAAGATGTTAATCTGTATAACGCTAAGTTGGATGGAAGTGACTTGCGACGTTTACTGAAAGCGCTAGCTTCTGACAAATTATTTGCCGTTGACGCAGCCAATCAAACTGTCTACTACCTGAATGGTGAAAAGATTAAATCAATCGACTATAATGGCAGTAGTTTACCAGATATTGGGTTAGAAGACGCTGTTTACCAGGACTTAAAAATTGATACTTACAATAGGTAGGCAAAGAACTGAAAACAATTTTTCCTTAAAACTACATACGGACAAGACAGAATCTTTAATAGCATATTACACGTTCATTATTAATATGAAAACCTGTTGTCAGACGTTAGAAAAAAGCGAACCTTAGTCTTTTAATGACTCGCTACGTTTTGGTAACAAAATTACTTTGGGCATCGCCTTTTTACTCTTGTTTCAGGGCTGTCAAAAGCAACCATTCGGAACGATTGCTCAAATAAAAAAAAAATAAATTCGCTTCGCGGAAAAAATGTCGGATTGTTTCCGGAGTAGGCCTAATGTTAGGCCTAGTTGATACGTCGCTTTTGTTCGCGTCGAATGCAATTTAAACAATAGATAATGAAATGATCGACCTGATTCATTACCAGCTCATTACCTATTGTTCGAATTGCATTCGACGCGACCAAAATACGACATACTGTGTATGTAACCCTAGCCATTTTGGTCACGTCGAATGAAAGTCAAACAATAGATAATCAGATGATAATGAAGCTTAATCATTGAGTTTCATTGTCTCATTGTCTATTGTTTGAATTGCATCGAGGGCCTGATTCCACTGGCGTTTTTTCTCGGCGTTTTTTTTTGAATTGTGACCACTTGAGTAAATAAATTCTGCTTGATTGCTCACAACTTACAGTCGCGGCAATAGAAGCATTTCGAAAAATATCGAGTAACTCATATTTGTTGTATTCCGTAAGCAAACTGATAAATTTGAGCAAATGAATTACTCAATATTTTTCGGTATTACCCCCCAAATGGGATATATTACCCCCCACCCCCCAATAGAACGAGGTTATGAAGTGTGGGTAAATAAAGATAATCTGCTTTATCTTCAAATATATATTTAGCGCTTTTGATTTTTCTCCAAATAGATCAATATTTCTCACTACTGATACAACGAACAATCGCAATCTCATCCGGTACAGTCTTGCTGATGGAACTATTCATATTCTTCACTTTGGTGTCAATGAAATAGGCACTCACCTTGCGCTTGATACCGTGAATAAAACCGTATATTGGATTCTATTTACAACTGACTCAAATTACAAGATATTGAAAACAACGTACGATGGTCTGACTTCACAGATAGGAACAGATCAATCAGGAGGCATTACAACCGTGGACATTGCAGACGGAAATGGATATTATTATATCCTCGACACCATAACATCACAAATTGATAAATATGATAAATCGACGAATACAGTGGCTGCTACGATTTCACTTTCAACTGAAGCCACAAGAATGATTGTTGTATCTGGTAAGTGATTAAAATTCACGAAGGAATAATATTAATCTAAAGCCCCGTTTACACTACGCGCGATGTATCGTACGGTACGGATAAAACTTGCACCCGTACCATTTTTATCCGTGCTCGGACTGCGTGCGGTATTTAAGCCCATGTAAATATTTGTAAACCCAAATATTTTAATACATGTGATGCAAGATAATGTGTATTAAATTACATGCATTAGTAAACACGAAGGACCATCTGTATCTGCTTAAGTGGTTTTCCATGGTCGCTGATTTTAAATATATCAAAAGTTTATTTTTGGTGGTTTATTAGCCTTAAAAGTTACCGGACATGACGGATGGAGAATTTCATGCAACTTAAACAAAAGAAAACTTATTTGCAATTCCCGATTTGACGTCATGTGTGGTAACATTAAAGGCTTATAAATCCATCAAGATTTTTCCACAAAATTTTTAATAAGAAAATCTATTGCAAACTTAGAATACCTTAACTTTTGATTTATTCCAAATCAGCCACCACGGTGTAGGCACTTAACGACGAATCTACACGCCTAACGCTGGTGAATATTCATAAATATTCTTAATATTCATAAGTATACTTAAATATAAAGAATCGTTCTTACCTTTTTTCTTTTAGATAAGGATTATTGTTTTTTAAATAATACTTGTCCTGCAAACTCGACGTGTACAAACTCTCCTGGTACTATCGTCTGCTCATGTGACGAAGGATTCACTGGGAATAAAACAATTTGTGAAGGTATGAAATGAATCAAACGAAATTAAACGACTTTATCATGTTTAGTAATATAAGAATAATTTTTATGATCATAGATGGAGATGGTCCTCATTCTAAACCATTAGGACGCGGTCTATTTAATTCAAATATATGTTGCACTATTGTTTTAAACATTAGACCCGTATAGAAGTGCCGCCTGATTTTTCCCTTTTTCGATCGGCCAGTAGTTACATCACAACCAGGGATCGCAGAAGATCCTGCCAGAGCCAAAGGTTCTGGAGTCAAGACCTTCAGCATTGTTCTTCTTTTAAAACGCGTATTGACCCCAACATTCCTTGTTTGAATTTGAATGCTATTTTTTCATGCTTGTTTTTTGAGGAATGACATTTTGCAAGTTCTTTTAAAAGTTTAAGGAATCTGATGTGACATTTCTGCTGGTTTAACCTCGTTTTAATTTCAACAGATGTAGACGAGTGCGCGAAAACGGCATGTGGTTTAAACTCAAACTGTACAAACACAATCGGTTCGTATCTCTGTGAATGCCAAGCTGGTTTCAACGGAAATGGTAGAAACTGTACAGGTAAGATACTATTGGATGTATGCCAATACATCTGCTGGCGCCAACAACGTCGAACTTTAAGTTTTTCATTGATTTTTTGTAGCCTTACAATTCACTAAATAAAATTACGTATAGTTGACAGAGAATAACATCACATAAAGATATAATTTTTTATCACCGATAATCACTTTATAAAGAATGTTTGACAAATTAGGAAATTTTCGTCCAATAAAAATGTCAATGCTCCCTAAGAATAACATTCGAAATGAAAATTACATTGACTTAAGCGACATTAATTTTTTATTTACCATTGACTTCTTTGTAGATATAAATGAATGCCAGAGTAGCCCTTGTGATATGAATGCAAACTGTTCGAATAGCGATGGTTCGTTTACATGCACTTGCAATGAAGGCTTTGAAGGCAACGGCACCAGCTGCACAGGTACGCCATTAAAATGCTTTGTGTACGATCCTGCCCAATCATAGCCAATAAACTGTAAGTTAGTTTGGGTTCAACACAGTAACTTTCACTATATAACTTTCACTATACTATTTAAGTATAGTTAAAGTTATATCATTTAGCATAATTATGGTATATGACGTCACTAGATTCCCATAATGATGTTAGTATAATCATATGTAAATAACTTGATTATACTAACATGCATCATTATAATTATGTACTTATTTAATTTAATTTTTTGAAAGTTTCAGGTCGTCTTAGCGAAATAAATTATAGAGAATTCGATATTCATTATCTTATTTAAGATTTGAAGAATTTTTGGTAATTTATGATTATAGATGTCAACGAATGTAAACGAGATGCTCCGTGTCATGCAAATGCAACTTGCGCAAACGTGAAAAGATCATACTACTGCACTTGCAAAACTAACTATACTGGAGATGGCTTCTTTTGTGAAGGTTGTATATATTCGGATAAAGTGAGCTCTGTTTAATTTAGACTGGAACCATGACCGATCATCAACAGCGCTGACGTAAATAATAAAAAACTTGGCACTAGTTTTTCAAGTTGCTTTCAATTGGCTTTAAAATAACGGTTGAGTTGCGTTCCAGTGCACATAAAATTTGACTACGTCGTACATAATTATGTTTTATACATTGAAAATAGGCTCTGACTGAAGATATTGCCACATGTTTAGGCGCAAACAGCATATAGTACCATCTATTAACTAATGTTATTTGTTTCTGTCGCTATATAGCTCTCGTTTGCACAGTGGATGCCCTATACTATGCAACAACCAGTGCTATCAAAGGCGTCTTCTCTGACGGTAACTCGACTGCGACCATATTATCCGCAACCAACGCGAAACTAAATTATGATTCTGGCACCAAAAGGCTCATCTACTACGATGGTAGCAAACTCATCACAGTTAAACCGGATGGGAGTGATCCGATGACAATCAGAGGATCTCTGACGACTCTTGACAGGTTTACTGTGGATTATATAAAGAGAAAGGTTTACTTCATTGGTAATCTTTTCAGGAAAGTGGGTATCGTTGACGTAGATACTGGAAATTTAAGTGATCTAAATCCATTCGACATTGTAAATGCCTATGACTTGGACAGTGATCCAACTAACAAGTACATATAAATTATTACTAAAATTTTGATACAACTGGGAACCACAGAATAATATCCAGAAAATGCTTTGAATTGGGCAATTTAGAACAGATATTTTTCATAACTTGTGTTTTTCTTATGGAAAGGGTATACAGGGTGTCTCAAAAAACCCGAAATCTATTGAAATCACCCATAACAATGTAATTGCTAGAATTTGAAAGCCTAAGCACTCCGTTGGGATGATATCGCAATAAACACGGTCAGCTGTACATTTTATAAGTTGCATTAAATTTCCACGGGCTAAAATTCGTGAACACGGCATTCAAATTTCAACAATGAGTGATCTCAATAGTTTTCGGGTTTTTTGAGACACCCTGTAGAGGATTACCGACAACCAAAATTTCGAGTCCGAGGTTTGGCTAATACCAAATGTGTGGTAACGATAATTGTTTTCGATGAATAAGACGCATAAATATAGTAAACCCCAAAAGAAGGGGAAAATAACTAAATTTCGAACCTTTTGAGAAATGCCGTAAAATGTTCAAAAATTAGCCGCGTGGAGTTTTCACTTCCTGTATAATTATTCTTTGTGTCACGCGGTAAAAATTGACAGCCTTGTCGAAAGTATAAGATATAATGGTGTTTTTGTGAAAATCATTTTTCAGCTCATTAGAGATACACTAGATTAATTATCAAAATAATCCAAAACGACGGCATGGTTTTGAATATTTTCACGGAATTTCATAGTTTGAAATTATCTTGGAAGAAGGTTGAACACGTACAATTCTGGGCAATTGGAATGCTTGTGACACAATTGTTCATCATATTTGTTGTTGCATATTTGGCTAATTCTTTATTCTTTTCTGCCTAGCATTTTAATTCCATCAAAAATTTCATTCAAATTATTTCCATTTTTCATGAGAGCACAACATGTCATTAAACACACTTGTTCATTGGAGGAAGATAATTGAGGACAAGCTATATTTTGCAATACATAGACTAAATACTCAATCTTTTTCTCCCATTTAGTACTCTTGTATTCGCTGATATCGAAAACGGCGATATCGTTCGCTATTATCTCGACAAAGATACCCAGGAGATTATTTACCATAACAATACGTCACCAAAATATCTTTCCGTCGATTCTCAATATGAAGTGATATACTGGATTGACTATATCAGTGCCAGCAGTAGTTTTTCTCTCATGAAAACATATTTTAATGGTTCAACTTCGCAAATCAAGTTATACTCTGGTGTAACAAGCTCAGTAAACGTTGCAATAGGAGAGGATTATTTCTATACAATGGATAGCACAAGGCAAAGTATAGATAGATTTGACCGACCCACTGCTACTTTTCAAGGTTCATTTGATCTCAGCGACAAACCACAGGAGATCACTGTTGTTCAAGGTGGGTTACCTTTACGAACTTTGTAGCTAATTAAAGGACAAAAATATAAAATTATGTATTTGAGGAATTTCTGATGCTATGATATGTTCAAGAAAAATTTAGAAATTCATGATGATATTATTTATATTTACGATGATCTTAAAGTTTCGTAGTTGGCCCTGAGCTGTATTACATCAGGTAAGAACGTGGCTAGAACGCCTGGAACGAAGATTTTGATACCACAGTCGCAATTTACGGACGCAATTTGCGGACACAATATCACCGAGTTCATGTGTAAATGTGCAAATGAAATAAAAAGGACAACCAGCTTTTTGTTGCTAATCGTTACGAGTTCCGGAACTACTTTAAGAATCCTAATGTCATCATCCCTTTCAAAAGAAAATATTAATTTATTTCATTTCTGAAATAATGAGATCAAGTGAAGGATTTTACAAGTATTAAGGTGGCACTAACGCATTTCACAGCACCCTTGGTTACAAATGTAATAATCAAGTTAAATAAGTTTAGTTCATTCTTACAATAAATGGTCAAGGGAAGTGGATGCCCTGAATGAGTGAATAAATTTTATAAATATTATGCAACGTTTAGTTTACCAAACGCCAGAAAAAAAACTGTAGAAATGAACGCAAAACCACAGAAACATACAAGAGTGAAGCCGCGTTCAGGCTGGAATAATAATTATGTTATATCAAATGTCTCTTTTTAGACCTAGATGAATGTTGTGAAGGCGGGTATTGTCATGATAACGCAACGTGCACCAACACTCCAGGGAGTTATTTCTGTACCTGCAAACTTGGATTTACCGGAAATAACACATATTGTCAAGGTACCATAAAAAATTAACAATTGTTACAATGATATTGTTAAGTAACAATTATCAGAACAGAAGAACCTTGCATGTTTACAGCGCCAAAAACAAAGTTCAATATATGTGACCCTCCACGGGAAAACATACATTAACGCTTTTCCGTTTAAATGGGCAAAAAAAACGGATTAAAAACGGTTAGTAAACGGATGCCGTAAAGCGTTTTCACGGTTCGTTAAAACGGTTCGATGGAAAAATTTAATGGTTTCAAGAAAGCGTTTTTACGCTTTGGAGAAAGCGTTTGCACGGATACGAATAACCGTTTAAACGCACAGAAAATGAACCGTTTTTTTGGATGGGTCGACTCATCCGTATAAACGGTTTGACGAATTTATATACCCATTTTAACGGACGAAACCAGACGATTTTGGGAATCCTTTAATCCTACACCATGATACTGGTTTTTAAATCAAACAACGGTAAAATATGTCAACTGTCTGTTGCATGTGCATGTTTGATATATACCGGGAGGGGGAAAATGATTAACAGGTAAACGCAAGTAGCGGATGTACATTATACGTTGTTTATGTTGAGCTATGAGGGAGTCACTGTCAAATATTTAAGTATAGTGAAAGTTATATCATTTAGCATAATTATGGTATATGACGTCACTAGATTCCCATAATGATGTTAGTATAATGATGTGTAAATAATTTAATTATACTAACATGCATCATTATAATTATGTACTTATTAAAATATTTTTTTTAAAGTTTCAGGTCGTCTTAGCGAAATAAATTATAAATAATTCGATATTCATTATCTTATTTAAGATTTGAAGAATTTTTGGTAATTTATGATTATAGATATCAACGAATGTGAACCAGATGCTCCGTGTCATGCAAATGCAACTTGCACAAACGTGGAAGGATCATACTACTGCGCTTGCAAAACAAACTATAGTGGAGATGGCTTCTTTTGTGAAGGTTGTATATATTCGGATAAAGTGAGCTCTGTTTAATTTAGACTGGAACCATGACAGATCATCAACAGCGCTGACGTAAATAATAAAAAAACTTGGCACTAGATTTTCAAGTTGCTTTCAATTAGCTATAAAATAACGGTTGAGTTGTCGTTCCAGAGCTCATAAAATTTGACTACGTCGTACATAATTATGTTTTATACATTGAAAATACGGTCTGACTTAAGATATTGCCACATGTTTAGGCGCAAACAGCATATAGTACCATTTATTAACTCATGTTATTTATTTCTGTCGCTATATAGCTCTCGTTTGCACAGTGGATGCCATATACTATGCAACAACCAGTGCTATCAAAGGCGTCTTCTCCGACGGTAACTCGACTAAGACCATATTATCCGCAACCAACGTGAAACTAAATTATGATTCTGGCACCAAAAGGCTCATCTACTATGATGGTAGCAAACTCATCACAGTTAAACTGGATGGAAGTGATCCGATCACAATCAGAGGATCTCTGACGAATCTGGACCGCTTTACTGTGGATTATATAAAGAGAAAGGTTTACTTCATTACTAGTCTTTTCAAGAAAATGAGTATCGTTGACTTAGATACTGGAAATTTAACTGATCTAAATCCAACCGACATTGTAAAAGCCGATGACTTGGACAGTGATCCAACTAACAGGTACATGTATTACTAAAATATCGATACAACTGGGAACCACAGAATAATATCCAGAAAATGCTTTAAATTGGGCAATTCAAAACAGATATTTTTAATAATTTTTTGTTGCTTATGGAAAGGGTATACAGGGTGTCTCAAAAAAACCGAAAACTATTGAAATCACCCATAATAATGTAATTGCTAGAGTTTGAATGCCTAAGCACTCTGTTAGGATAATATCACAATAAACACGGTCAGCTGTACATTTTATAAGTTGCATTAAATTTCCACGGGCTAAAATTCGTGAACACGACATTCAAATTTTAAAAATGAGTGATTTCAATAGTTTTCGGGTTTTTTGAGACACCCTGTAGAGGATTACCGACAACCAAAATTCCGAGGTTTGGCTAATACCTAAAGTGTGTTAACGATAATTGTTTTCCATGAATAAGAGGCATAAATATAGTAAACCCCAAAAGAAGGGGAAAAGAACTAAGTTTCGAACCTTTTGAGAAATGCCGTGAAATGTTGAAAACTTAGCCGCGTGGAGTTTTCATTTTTTTATATTTTTGTGTCACGCGGTAAAAATTGACTGCCTTATCAAAAGTATAAGATATAATGGTGTTACTGTGAAAATAATTATCCAGCTCATTAGAGATACACTAAATTAATTATCAAAACAATCCAAAACGACGGCATGGTTTTGCATATATTCAAGGAAATTTCAAAGTTTGAAATTATTTTGGATAAGGGTTGAGGACGTACAATTCTGGGCAATTGGAAAGCTTGTGACACAATTGTTCATCATATTTGTTGTTGCATATTTGATTATTCTTTATTCCTTTCTGCCTAACATTTTAATTGCATCAAAAATTTCATTCAAATTATTTCTATTTTTCATGAGAGCACAACATGTGGTTAAAAACACTTCTTCATTGGAGAAAGATAATTGAGGACAAGCTATATTTTGCAATACATGGACTAAATACTCAATCGTTTTCTTCCATTTAGTTCTCTTGTATTCGCTGATATCGTAAACGGCGATATCGTTCGCTATTATCTCGACAAAGATACCCAGGAGATTATTTACCATAACAATACGTCACCAAAATATCTTGCCGTCGATTCTCAATATGAAGTGATATACTGGATTGACTATATCAGTGCCAGCAGTAGTTTTTCTCTCATGAAAACATATTTTAATGGTTCAACTTCGCAAATCAAGTTATACTCTGGTGTAACAAGCTCAGTAAACGTTGCAATAGGAGAGGATTATTTTTATACAATGGATAGCACAAGGCAAAGTATAGATAGATTTGACAGACCCACTGCTACTTTTCAAGATTTATTTGATCTCAGCGACAAACCACAGGAGATCACTGTTGTTCAAGGTGGGTACCTTTACGAACTTTGTAGATATTTAATGGACAAAAATATAAAATTATGTATTTGAGGAATTTCTGATGCTATATATGATATGTTGAAGAAAAATGTAGAAATTTATGATGATATTATTTATATTTACGATGATATTAAAGTTTGTAGTTGGCCCTGAGCTGTATTACATCGGGAAAGGACGTGCATGGCTAGAACGCCTGGAACGAAAATTTTGATACTACAGTCGCAATTTACTGACGCAATTTACGGACACAATATCACCAACATCATGTGTAATTGTAAAAAATTAAATAAAAAAGACAACCAGCTTTTTGTTGCTAATCGTTACAAGTTCCGGAAAATACTTTAGGAATCCTAATGTCATCATCCCTTTCAAAAGGAAATATTAATTTATTTCATTTCTGAAATAATGAGATCGAATGAAAGATTTTACAATTTCATTCTTTCGTGTATTGAAACTATTTAGGTGGCACTAACGCATTTCACGGTACCCTTGCTTACAAATGTAATATCTCGATGTAAAAAAGTTTAGTTCATTCTTAAATTAAATGGTCAAGGGAAGTGGATGCCCTGAATGAGTGAATAAAGTGTATAATTATTATGCAACGTTTAGTTTACCAAAAGCCAGAAAACACAAACTGTAGAAATGAACGCAAAACCACAGAAACAAACAGGACTGAATCCGCGCTCAGGCTGGAATAATAATTATGTTATTAAAAAACCCTAAACGATATCAAATGTGTCTTTTTAGACCTAGATGAATGTTGTGTAAGCGGGTATTGTCACGATAACGCAACGTGCACCAACACTCCAGGGAGTTATTTCTGTACCTGTAAACTTGGATTTACCGGAAATAACACATATTGTCAAGGTACCATTAAAAGTTAATAATTGTTACAATGATATTGTTAAGTAACAATAATTAGAACAGAAGAACCTTGCATGTTTACAGCGCCAAAAACAGAGTTCAATATATCCCGACAGTACAAAATTAATTTGCGATCGCATTTCAGACGTTGATGAATGTCAAACATCCTCCCCATGCCATTCCAATGCTACGTGCAATAACACAGATGGATCTTATATTTGCACATGTGATTCTGGATATACTGGAGATGGATTTAATTGCACAGGTAAGAAAACGAACATAAAATTTTTAGCAGATGTTTCAGTAAAAAACAGTAAATGGAAAATGAAAATGCTACAACTGCCATTTCAGGTGTTGACGAATGCGTAACATCCCCGCCGTGTCATTCCAATGCTACGTGTAATAACACAGATGGATCTTATATTTGCACATGTGATTCTGGATATACTGGAGATGGATTTATTTGCACAGGTAAGACCACGAAAATAAAATTTTTACCAAATTTTTCAGCAAAAAAACAGTAGCTAAATAGAAGAATGAAAATGCTACGACTGCCATTTCAGGTGTTGACGAATGCGTAGAATCTCCCCCATGTCATTCCAATGCTACGTGTAATAACACAAATGGATCTTATATCTGCACATGTAATACTGGATACACTGGAGATGGGTTTAACTGCACAGGTAAGACGACGAAAATAAATTTTTTACTAAATGTTTCAGTAAAAAACAGTAAATGGAAAAATAAAAATGCTACGACTTCCATTTCAGATGTTGACGAGTGCGTAGAATCTCCCCCATGTCATTCCAATGCTACGTGCAATAACACAGATGGATCTTATATCTGCACATGTAATACTGGATACACTGGAGATGGATTTAACTGCACAGGTAAGGCCACGAAAATAAAATTTTTGCCAAATGTTTCAGTAAAAAACAGTAAATGGAAAAATGAAAGAGGGATTTAACTGCACGGTTAAAAAAACGGAATATATATATATATATATATATATATATATATATATATATATATATATATATATATATATATATATATAATATATATATATAATATATATATATATATATATATTTATCACATACTTGTGCCTTTATCAGGGCGATAACAGGGTGACATAAAAACGATATCGTCACTGATATCGCTTTTTGTCACTGATATCGCTTTTTGTCACTGATATCGCTTTTTGTCCCGCTGCATTTGCCGCTGTCAAAACAAAGATGTCTGACTCGAGCAATTCGAGGTTTGTTTTTTTTTTTTTATTTGGTTTGTTTTTTTTTATGATATCGTCCCTCAAGCGATAAAACTGATATCTCCTCGCCCCTCATGTGATAACCTATACATATATATATATATATATATATATTATATAATATATATATATATATATATATATTTAGATATATTTAGATTATAATTGGACCTTTTCTAGACTAATCATTTTTTATTATAGATTATACGTATTTATTACCTGACTGTAAGTCCATTGTAATTTTACCTTAAAGTCGATTATTAAAGAGCTTATTATTACTTAATAATACTAAAAATCTGTATGCATGTAATCCTGCTCGTCGAAATTGTCCATCAATAATATTAAAAAAACCTGCATAGAATGAACTTTGTCTCGATTCACACTGCCTGCCTGGATCCACCTAGGTTCTTGAAAATGAAGTGAGCCGCCATTCTCGGTATATTACTAATTTTACAGATGTTAATGAATGTTTGGAAGCTCCATGTGGCTTTAATTCAATCTGTACAAACACGGAAGGATCGTACGTTTGTGGATGTCATATTGGATATAAAAGAAATAGTGCAGAAACTACGAATTGTGCAGGTAAAACTATGCACTTTCCTTTTTGAGAGTTTACAGAAGAAAGCTCTTTGTTTTCAAATAGCATTTTTTCCCCTGCGTTTAACTTTATTTCCCGAGAAAAGGGCGTAAGTAAATATTAATTATATTGAATCATATAATAATTATATGAAGTTCTTACTATTCTGGGAATAAGAAAGAAGGAAAATTGAATAGAAAAATTTATTTCTCTTAATTCTTTATTTTTTCAGATGTTGATGAGTGTGCAAGAGGCCTGTGTAGTTTAAATGCAAACTGCACAAACACGAATGGTTCATATTTTTGCGTATGCAAAAGTGGCTATGAGGGAAATGGGAGCATCTGTTTAGGTAAAAACTTGGCTATCTCTATTCTGCGCTTATTTCTCGTCCTCTCTTCGAAAAAGATGCAAATAAAATATGTAATATAAATGTATATAAATGTATATATATTTATATTTTTATATTTTGTTACATTCACAAAGAAATCTCTTCACTTAAGAGCTATTATAGGTTATATAATAGCAAATTTCAAAGCCAATGAAAGTTTCCAAGAAATTCTTGGCACTTCAAGTAAAATTTTTTTTGTTATGGATTATATTTATATTAAATAATTCATACAGAAGTACAACAAAAAAATGAATGTTTTTACCATATGTAGGCAGCATGCAAATAAGTGTTATTTATTCTTAAATCGCGTTTTTGTTCTCGTGGTGCTCACGCGTGTTACACGAGTCTACTCAGTGTCTTATTGTGGCAAGGTTGGTGAGAATTTTTACTACGTTTCCCTGCTGAAGAGTTTCACGTACGACGATTTCTGTTTCCGGAGGCGAATTTTTATAAGGATGGCTTTAAGTCAAGGTGGGTGTGATATTCTTCCGGCAAGCCTAAACTTGGGAAAATTTTACAAACAGCAAAACGTCACTAGCTGATAATCAATTTTGATAACTTGTTTACTATGCCATTTCTCCTGTTATTGCTTAAGCCCTCGTATTTCACCATACTATAGGCGAATCTTTGGCGATGCTGACATAACTTTACCAATCGATTCACTTGTTCCTTTACTCCAGAATGAAAATGAGAAAAAAGCGGCTTGGAAAAGGATTTACCATCCTATATCAAGGAAACCAAACATACTCTTCAAATCATCAACAAACATTCACTTTCAATCAGCCCACAAATCAAATCCTTGTACACTGTCATCCCCCACCAGGATGGTTTGAAGGCCCTCAAGTTCTTTTTAGACAAACGCGCCCCACTCAGGAATCATCGACAACTGTTTTGGTCAGATTAGCTGAACTGGTGCTCATTCTCAACAATTTTTCCTTTGATGGTGAGCATTACCAACAGATATGTGGTGTAGCAATGGGAACTAAAATGGGTCCCAATTATGCCAAATTATTTGTTGGTTTTGTGGAAAAACAAATCTACGAAGAGTACACTGGCTCTCTACCTGACTACCTGGGAAGGTACATTAATGACTGTCTTTGTACAGCATCATGTTCCCGTGCTGAGTTGGAGAGATTCATCAAATTTCTTGATGAATTTCATCCAGCACTCCAATTCACATGGGATATCGGTGAGACCAGTGTATCATTCTTAGATATCCTGGTTTCCATCAATGGCAATAGGCTCTCTACCTCAGTGTTCCACAAGCCCACTGACTCTCATAGCTACCTCTTATATTCGTCCTTCCACCCAGCCATACTAAGAGGTCTATCCCCTTCTCACAATTCCTTCGTCTCCGCCGGAGACGTCTGGAGATGAGCGCATTCTTTATCGGGCGCGGCTATCCCTCTCCACTTATTGACAATGCCTTATCTAAGGCCTCTGACATTTCCCGCTCAGACACCCTTAGAGATTGTAGTACCCCTAGCATGAATTCTACCCCCTTAGCTCTAACACATCATCCTTTCAATTTTGCTGTTAGGGATATCTTACTTAGGAATTTTCATATCCTGCAGAATGATCCCAAGATCTTCCATTTTCAACGATAACCCCCTAGTCTCTTTTCGGCACAACAAAAATATCCAGGACACATTGGTTCACAGCTCTTTACAGCAAAACTGTTCAGAGCCCAATGGCACATTGCAATGTGGCATTGGCCATTGTAAAACATGCTCATTTACCGATTCCAGCACTGTTATTTCGGCTCCCAATTCACAGTTTTTCATCAGGCACCATTTCACATGCGTCTCCTCCAACCTCATTTATTGCATGTCATGCAATAAATGTGGTTTACTTTATAACGGTGAAACTGGAAGATCTCTATAAAGGTAAGGTTTGGTGAACACCGTAGCTCGGTCAACAACCACAATAACACCAAGCCTGTTCGGCCCTGTTGCCAGACACTTTACCTCTGGTAATCATTGTGTCACGGGCCTGAAAATTAGAGCCCTTTGTCCCATTTCCCGTACTAACGATTGCCGTAAACGACAAGAAATGCGAGTCACCCATAGTACTTCAAGCTATTTCACCCATAGTAATAATTTTATGACGAAGGCCCTCAGGTGGAAACGTCGAGAAGTGTTTTGTCTAATTTAGGCACTGGTTATCCCACATTTGATGCTAAGTTGTTTGAAAACGCTGCCACGCTGCTCCCTAGTTATATTCCATAAATATAGCTCCCAATAAAAAATATGCCGATAGCGTATCTGAGCGTATCCATCATTAGTTCCTTAATTTATTACTCGGAATATTTTGTGACCAATTCCCCTAAATGTATATAGTATAAAATACAGTAGTTAATTAAATATACCAAGGAAGTGAAATTAGTCGGCAGGGTGCCTGCTGCATGTTGCTTTACATTGTTCTGAAAATTATTGCTACCATTCTTCTATTCACAACAAACACAACGAAGCTAAATCTCGAAGTAAAATTCTACTTTTAAAAGGTAACCTAAATATTAAATGCTTTGCAACGGTCATTTTCTAGGACAGACATTAGTTTGGCATACGCCGCTATATATACGTGTTTTAAAAAAACTTATTTTGTCTTAACGTTTGTTTGGCATACGCCAAGTTTATTTAAGGTAATGTTATGGATCATAATCACAAAACGATCATTTGGTAGTCAAAAGTATCTTTGTGCCATAACTTTGGAAACACTGTTTCAGTGTGTCGTAATGTTTGATTGCAAATAATATAATTGTTGTAAATTAATGAAAATATAGCCATGCGGAGTTGACAAATTTTGTATACTTTTGCATTGTGGCCGGAAGTGTTATAACACATTCCCTCACGTAATCCAAAAGTATAAAAAATTTGCCGACTTCGCATTGCTATATTTGCAGCACTTTTAAGAATTTCGCGGCCAAACTTTGCATTTGAACTAATTTAAGTACACTCTTTCTAGCTCTCGTGGTTTATTTCCCTCCTGTTACTCCTATCAAAATT